AGTGGTAAGCAGCAGAAAAGGTGCCTCTCTGAGAGTCACAGTCCAAATGCTGGAATATAGCAACATGAGGAAGACAAGGAGCAAAGTGAGTGCTCTGGACCCAAGAAGAATCTGAAGTGCAAATTGAAGCCCAGAGAGAGTGAATAAAGAAGCTTCAATGAAGCAGGAGGTAGCTGGCAGTGCTCTCTCCCTTAGACAGGGACTCACTGCATGAGATGAGCAGTTCAAACCTGCAGATGCACAATCATGGCCATGGTGACAGCTGGTGACCCCAGAGACCTCTGCAGAAAGACAGGGTAGTGGAGGGGAGCAGCAGATGTGGAGGACAGTAGCAGGCATGAAGGACTGCATTGCCTGGTGGTGAGTGAAGGGGTGTTGCTCTTGCAGCAGCGAAAACAATTAGCCTGGAGCCATCTTGGAGATTGGCAACCTGAGTCAGAACTCAGAAATGTGGCTGGCTCCCTCTAGTGGTCCATCAGGGCTGAGACCCATGGAAGGTGCTTGGAAAGCAGTAACTGATCGATTTCCACTAGAAAGTGCAAATTTAGAGAGATTACCCACTACCCCATCAAAAAGTTACTGCTGGCTTGCTGGGATAGATCTCCACAGATCAGACTCTATCTCTGCAAGTTGTCTGCCAGTGAAACCAGAGAAAATACTGGACAAACCTGAGGTAGACTTTTTTTTTTTTTTTTTTTGTCTTCTCCCTCCTCTCTCTGATGTTTGTGGGGGTTTTTGTTTTTTGTTTTTTGTTTTTTTGTGTGTGTGGTACCGGGGATCAAACTCGCAACTTCGCACTTGCCAGGCAGGCGCTTGTGCTGCTGAACTACATCCCCAGCCCATCTTTTTTACTTTTTTGTTTTCTTTTCTTTCTCCTTCATTGTTTGATCTTATTTTTATAGAAGTATAAATGTAGTTTCTAGCTTCCGTGTGGCTCTGTTCTGTTCTTTCCATCTCTTCCTTTGCTCTTTCCCTACAATCTTCTACTCCAGTTTTCCAAAGTTAGCATGATCCTCCTTGGCCCTATAATTTTACTTCTAATCTTTTCCTCTTTTTCTAATTCACTATTTTCTCCTTAAACTACCTTAAATTTTAACCCCCAAGGGCAAAATTAAAATATCAATTGACATGTCATTGTATATGCATATAATTTTCTGACTTGTTTTAGAATTTGTTATATAACCACAAATCTAATATATATGGCAAATTAAGAGTTAGCTCAGCCAATCATTTTCTAAGCTGCATTTGTTGCTATTGGTACAACTATATCCAAAATGACACAATTGATCTAAACAGCTGTTGGTCCTGATATTCCATGACCAAGATTGACTAAGGGTCACAAAAAATACCGTAGCACAGTTCCAAAGAACCAGGGCCTAGGCCAATCAAACAAATTCCCAGCTCCAACAGATCCAAAACCTAAAAACCAGCTACACCTGGAAGAAACCTCAGAGAAGTAGTCATCATCTAAGAGTCCTAAATACACTAATAATGCAAGCCACCACAGACAATTTACAAACATCACACCAGTAATTAAACTTAAAGAAAGAAAGAAAGAAAAAAAGAAAGAAAGAAAGAAAGAAAGAAAGAAATGAGAAAACACTTAAACAAAATGCAACCGTGGATATTGAATTTGCCAAAGTCAAATCCAGGCAGCAATGAGATGGAACAATCAGAAAGCCTCTCTCCAGGCCTCTAAAGCAGTAACAACAAATCAATTGAATGAGGCTCTGGAAAAAAAAATGAAATGAGAAATATTTTCTCAAATGACTGCAGAGATGATATCCAAAATAAGGATCATACTTAGTAACACTGGAATAGATATAGACAAAAAAAAATAGATGAACTTAAGAAAAAATTGAAGCTCAGCATAGAAAGAAATGATAAAACAGATTCAAGCAAATATCCAGGAGAATAAAAATTCCATTGAAAGCAATTGAAGTAGATTAAGCCAACATGAGGATTGGAAGTCAGATATTGAAGACAGGCTTGCAGTTATTGAGCAGGAAAAGAAAGATTTCTCAGAAATAGCAAGAGACCATGAGAAATCAATCCAGCAGCTGCTGGAGGAGACAAAGAAGACTAATTTAAGATTAATTGGAGTCAATGAACACACAGGAGATACCACAAATGACATCAAGAAAATGTTCACAGACATCATGGAGGAAAACTTCCCTAGTAGATAAAAGGAATTTGACATGTAGAACTCCGATTAGCCATGATAAAGAAAATCTACAGGTAGGTATATTATAGTCAAGATTCCAGAAATTTAACACAAGAATATAATCATAAAAGCTGTTAGAGAAAAGAAACAAATCACCTGTAAAGGAAAACCCATCAGAATCACAGCTGACTTCTCAGCACAAACTGTCAAGTCAAGGAGAGCTTGGAATAAAGTACTCCATGTTCTAAAGGAAAACCACTTTCAACCCATATTAATGTACCCTGCTAAACTATCTTTCAAAATTGATAAAGAACATCTAAGGAAATTTATAACCACCAAACCAGTACTCCAAAGTGTTCTGAAGGACATTCTGGAAAGAGATAATAAGGACTACAACTCCATGAACCCTAACAGAAGGAATCCACCAGGCAAGGCAAACAATTGGAGGGAAAAAGTAGGGGACGCCAAAAACAGGAAAATAACACAACAAGGATAAATCAACACATATCAGTTATCACTATCAATGTTTATGGTCTCAATTCACCAGTCTAGAGACACAGACTGGCAGAATGGATCAATAAGCAAGGTTCAACAGTATGCTGCATATAAGAAACACAATTATTTCAAGAAGAAATTCATAGAGTGAAAGTCAAACAATAGAAAACAATACTCCACGTGACAGGAGCCCCCCCCCAAAAAAAAATCAGGGGTAGCTATTCTATTTGCAGACAAAGTGAATTTTAAATCAAGACTGATTAAGAGATATAAAGGTCACTGCATCCTCATAAAGGGAATAATCTACTAGGAAGAGATAACAATCACAAATATGTATGCAACAAATACAAGCACACCAAACTATATAAAACAATTACTAACAGACATGAAAAGTCAAATAAGCTATAATACAATTGCATTGGGAGACCACAATAGGCCAGAGTCACAAAAACACAGATTAGACAAAAAAATCAATAATGAAATATTAGAACTAAATCAAATTTTTGAACAAATGGACTTAGTAGGTTTCTATAGAGTGTTCCACCCCACAACATCAGAATATACATTCTCAGCTGCACATGAGATGTTCTCCAAAATATATCATATATTATTAGCTCACAGAACATACTAAAGTAAATGCAAAGGAATTGAAATTATCCCATGCATACTGTTAGACCACAATGCAACAAAACTGGAAATCCATGGAAAAGGAAACCACAAGAACTTCATGAACACTTGTAAATTAAATGCACCTTACTGAACAACCAATGGATCACAGATGAAATTAAAGAAAAAAATCAGACAGTTTTCACAGTTGAGCCATAATGACAATACAACATAGAACTTGTGTGACACAATGAAAGCAGTCTTAAGAGGGAAATTTATAACAATAAATGTCCATATCATAAAAACAGAGAGCAAGCACATATAACAACTTAATGCTGAACCTCAAACTTCTAGAAAAAAAAAAGAGCAAACCAAGCCAAAAGTTCATACAAGGGAGGAAATTATAAAGACCAGAGGAAAAATTAACACACTGGAGGCTAAAAAAACAATACAAAGAATCAGTGAATTGAAGAGTTGGTTCTTTGAAAGATTAAATAAAATCGACAAACCCTTAGCCAACCTTATCGAAAAAAGGAAAGAAGAGACTCAAATCCTTGCAGTTAGGAATGAAAAGGCTGAAATTACAACATACATTGCAGAAGTCCAGAAAATTATCCATACCTACTTTGAAAACTTATATTCTAATAAGATGGAAAATACAGAAAAAATGGACAGGTTCCTAGACACATATGAATTACCAAAGCTGAATCGCGGGATTATAAGCATTCTAAATAAACCAGTATCAATCAGTGAAATTGGAGATGTAATTAAAGACCTATCAACAAAGAAGAGCCCAGGCTCTGACAGATTCAGGGCAGAACTCCACAAGAAATTTAGAGAAGATCTAATATCACTACTTCTCAAACTCTTTAATGAAACTGAAAGGGAAGCAATACTCCCAAATTCATTCCTGGAAGAAAGTATTACTCTGATACCAAAACCAGAGAAGGACCCAACTAAGAAAGAGAATTACAGGCCAATCTCCCTCATGAACACTGATACCAAAATCCTCAATAGGATACTGACTAACAGTGCAGCACGGTCTCCGGGACATGACCTCACCACCTCCTGGCTCCAGCCCACCTGCTCCCACTCCTAACTAGGCTCAGCTGCCCACTGTATCTTTTCCTGGCCACCTGAGCCAACTGTCCAGCAGCTCCTTCCACCTGCACGACCACAACCTTCTCCTCTGCACCTTCTGCTCCTCTTTGTTAACATGCATTTTCCTGCTGTTGGAGCATGGATGTGGTTGGACCACTGACCATGAACGGACAACAGAAAAGAATCCAGGGCAGCTTCAGAGGAAACCATGATATGGATGGGGTGTATATGAAAGGGGAGACATCCCTGGCTTTGTTAATCAGAGGGGAGCATTGTGGGCCCACTGCATGTGTCCATCTGTGCATCTATCCACACATTCAGTCAGTGCTTATTTAGGGCGTACTGTGCACCCATCACTGTCACAGCCTCTGGGTGCAGGGAGGAGAAAACACCAGAATATGCACACGCATGTGTGTTGCGGGGTGGGGGATGTCTAGTGGTGAATAAGAGGGTTCCCATGAGGCCCAATACAAGTGTAGTGGGGACCCCAGCTTCTGCTACTGTCTCTGGTCAGTGTCCAGAAGCACATTGGACAAAGAGGTGCTCCTGTGAACAGTGGGGAGGCCCCCACCCAGGATCCTTGCAGCCCCTCGCTGAACCCCACCTCGCTTAGCCAAGCAGACAGTTGACTCACTCAGGCCCCCGCTCCTCCTCCTCCTGCTTCTTCTCTTTCTCTTTCTCTTCCTCCTTCTCTTCTTCTTTCTCTCCCTCCTTCTCTTCTTCTTTCTCTTCCTCCTCCTCCTTCTCCTCCTCCTTCTCTTCCTCTTTCTCTTCCTCCTGCTTCTCCTCCTCCTTTTCTTCCTCTTTCTCCTCCTTTTCTTCCTCTTTCTCCTCCTCTTCTTCCTCTTTCTCCTCCTCCTGCTTCTCCTCTTCCTTCTCTTCCTCCTCCTCGCCATCCTCCTCTTCTTTTTCCTCTTGAATTAGGGACAGCTTCCTGGGTTGGTGTTGGAGATAGGAATGAGCCCACCACAGTCGCCCCAAATCTACCTCTACCATTTCTGTTGCATATCTCACAACTCCCAGGACCAGACCTGGACTCCCTAGTCAGAGCTCAACCTGGGGACTCCACCTGTGGAGCCCCTGGGCACCCCTAGGTTCTCTCTAGTGGCTAGTCCTCGTCTCTAAATGAGGGGCCTCTCCCAGCTCCCACCGTTCTGTGGTGACTCCCGGTCAGACCCTGAACCTCTCTGAGCCTCACTTTCTCCATTTTATCTTGAGGACTGGAAACCTCCTAGCCTTAATAGCCATCACCAGTGCCGCTAGTGGGAACAGAGATTGTACCATTCCTATGGAGAGCGATCTGGCAGTCACTAACGTCACTCCTGTGTCTAGTGACCCAGCATTCATTCTGGAAATCCATCCCACGAAGGTGCATGTGTGTGCACATATGCACACACACACACACACACACACACACACACACACACACACACAAGAGAGCTTCCACAGAATTGTTCATAATAACAAAATGTGGGAATCAACTTCCTATAGTTAAATCCAAAATATCCCCCAAAAGCCCAGGTTTGTTAATGGCTTGTTCCCCAGACTGATGCAACCAAAAGGTGTAGATTCTTTAAGGGGTGGGACCTCGAGGGAGGTCTTGGTGCATGGCCTGTGAGCCCCGGAAGGCAGCAGTGGGACCCTGGCTGCATCCTCTTTTCCCTAATGTAAATCAAATGTTTTGGTTCTGCTGCACACTCTCCACTGCTGAACTGCCTCACCAATGGCCCAAAAGTGTGGGGCCAAACTACCACATTCTGAAATCATAAGCCAAAAATAAACCTTCTTTCTATTTAAGTTTATTGCCTCAGATATTTTGTTGCAGTAACAAAACTGACACACACCCTAAATGGCCATCAGTAGAGGACAAGTTAAATGGATTACAGTATGTCCAGATGATAGAATACTATGCAGCTTTAAAACCAATGAGAATGCTGTCTGTGTACAGATTGTGGGAAGACCTCAAGACATATTAATTGAACAAATATAACAAGGTGCAGGTATGTACATACGATATGCTATCTTTTGTACATAAAAGAAGAGGGGATTCACACTTGTAGATGCCCACTTCATCTCTGGAATGGGGCAGAAAAACCTGGTAGCCTATGTGCCCATGGAGAGAGATAAAGGAGGCAGGCTCCCCTCCATGCCTTTTTCTCTTTTCTAGTACAAGAGATTGAACCCAGGGCCTTCTCACCTGACCTGTACTCCCAGCCTCTTTTTATTATTTATTTGGAGATAAGGTCTCACTAAGCTGCTAAATTACCCAGTCTGGCCTTGAAGTTATCATCCTCCTACCTCGGCCTCCAAGAGTACTGAGATTATAGGTATGCACCACCACGCCCAGCTTCCATGTTTTACCTTTGGGATTCTACACTGTTGCTTCATTCTTTCCCAGGACTTCTCTGGCTCCTTACCTGGGCATCTCCACCACAGCCTCGTTCTCTTCCTCATACGTTGGAGCTGCCTCTATCTCTTGAGGGTTGCTGCCGTTGTCCCGCTCAGCATCCTCCCAGTGAGGGTCAAAGTCTTCGAGGACGAGGTCAGGCTCCACCTGCTCCATGGGGAGGATGCTGACTGCAGGGACACAAAGGGTTCCCTAGTAGGGTATGGGAACAGTGGGCTTAGACCCCTATATCTCAGGGACCCCAGATGGAGTCTTGGCCCTGGCCAACAGCAGGTCAGCTCTTAGCCAAGCAACAGGCAAGGAGGGACTTGTGGCCAGCACAACCACTGACCATTGAGCCAGGGCTCACATGATGGGCTGAAGCCCACAGCCATTCCCCCTGTCTCCTTCCATCCTTGTCTCCCTTTTTCTCTTGAGATAGTGTGTTGATTTTGATTGATCGAGTTTGTTTCTCATGGAGGCTTACTTCTTAGAAGTTTGTGCTGGGGAAAAAGTACTCCAGGTGATGCCAAAAGACCCAGTGCAGAGCTACCTCGCCATACCCAGGTACAGGGTCACCCACCCTGGTGACAAAATGCCCATAAGATCACCACTTGCTTCAAGTATCCTTCCCAAGTTCCTGGCCCTAGCAGCCCCATCTCCAAAGGAGTTAGAGTTTCCCATGAGTGGGTGGGGGAATCCAACCTTCAGAAGCAAGTCTGATTTTCAACATTTCTCCATGCACCCTGACCCTGACAGTGAGAACACTCAGACCTGTAAACTTGGCAGAAATGAGTACATGAGTACCCAAACCCATCCCAGGCAGATAGATGTCAGGGAGCAAGGGGCAGACTTCCTGTGTACCAGGTGTCCCTCGAAAGTTCCAGGGATCTCAGTGGCCCTCAAGCCACGCATCAGTTAGTGATTAAATGGAAGCCAGCTTCAAGTCCCATTTTGTGACTTTGAAAGTTACTGCTTGTGATGTAGCACAATAACAAAAACAGTAATCGTAAGCTACTTCCCCAAGTCAGGCCCTGGGCTGAGTGATTCATAAGGATTAATTCCGTTAGTATGTTGTGTGAAAGGAGAAAAGGCTGGCACTGCCCTGGACAAGGTGGAAGAGGCTCTCAAGCCTGACAACACACCTGTGGTTAAAGCGTTGCCACCTACTTTGTGGCAGCTCCATTAGCCCTCATAGCAACCTCTGAGAGGGGAATAACTGCTATTCCCATTTTATTTCTATACTTTTGTGTCTTACTCCTCTTTTACAAATGAGCAAACTAAGAAAGAGAAAATCACTTTATTTTACGGAGTGCTTTCCATGAGCCAGGCCTGGAATCCTCAGCTTCCAAGTATAGACATTATCCCTGCTTCCCAGGCGAGCTCCCTGAACACCGTAACCATGTCTTTCCATGGTGGGTCCCAGCTCCTCCGGCCCTACAAACATCTCAGAGCCTGACATTCTTGGAGGATTTGAGGGAATTTCCTCCAACCTCAAATCCAGAGGAGGGGTGTGTTATACGTGTGGTTCTATGCTGCTGTCCACAGTGGTGTGGCCTCTGTACTCCGAGAGCCTCTTAGGGTACAAGATGCTACTTGGGCACAGCAGGGGACAACCAGAGAAACTTTCCCAGCCTGAGGACTCATTACCTTTACAGCACCCAGAAGAGGAAACAGTACTCTGTGTTTTATAAACTAAAGAGCTAGCCTGGCCACACAGGAAGCTGGAGGTGGACGCTGGAGTATTCTGACTTCTGATTCCACAGAGCAGAGCACCGTGCCAGATAATGAACAAGCCCACATATGCCCCACTGGCACTGGGAGCCACTCCGTACTAGATGCCATTCCTAAGAGTGACACTGTCCTTGCTTAGCTGTTTGTCTTTCTTTTTAGATACTATAAGTGAGAGCTTTCATCTTGCAGCAGACCTGCTGGGCCTACCCTAGACTGTCCCAAGTTTAGAGCCAGCTCTGAGAAGAGGGTGATGCCTGAGGTCCCCATCCAGGAGGAAAGGGTGTTCTGCCACATGGCCCAGGGCAAGGCCCGTAGGCCTAGGAAGAAGCCACTGTCCTCCCCCTGGAGCTCCAGACTCTCTGAGAATCTCCTAAATTCTCCAGGGGCCCCCAGGAACTCATTCTGGGGGCTGATGCTTCACCCTGGAGTCCCTCTCAGGTATGCCAGCTCCTGTCCAGTGGCCTCTCTGCTCTCAGGGTCATCCAGTGGTATTCCGACCTCTGCGAGTGAAGGCCAGCAGCCCCACAAAAGAAGGAGCCCCACAAAAGAAGGAGCCCCATCTCCAGGAGCAGCAGGAGGGAGCCTGGATACATAGGTTCAAGGCTGCCCCCGACCCTCTACCCCAGACCCAGGGTCACTGACATAACCAGAGCAGAGAGGCAGAGTGAAGGGGTGTCAAGATCCAGACCTGCCAGAGAGGATGGCTTGGAGCCAGTGCTCTGGTTTTGTCAGTGATCTGGCCCTGAAGCACTGGCCTCTCACACACTGGTCATTTCCCTCCCACAGGCCCCAGTCCCTCCCAACATCAGAATCACACTGATGTAACCATGAGGCCTACTGTTGCTTTGATTGCTTTCCTTGCCTCCCATGCTTGCTCAGCCCCAGTGTAAGCTTTGTCACCTGCAGTGGCTCCCCGCTGCCTATAGCCTTGTCTGCTCAAGTCAGGCCCCAACAGCTCTAGCTTTACCTTCAGTGTGAAGGACTCGGGGCTCAGATCAGCTGAAGAACCCAGCACTCTAACCTAACTGCTCTCACCTCCAGGCATTTTCTCACTCTGTGCCCTCCCCAATGGTTCTCCCTTTACTGGCTGTTTGGGACATCAGGGCCTCAACCCAAACTTCAATAGTGGGTACAATTAAATGAAGGAGCAGTGCCACTGGTTTCAGCATCCTCCCGAACACAGCATGCGTCCCTCGCAGCCAGCCCTTCCGCTTTCTGAGCAGGTCAGGCTTTTATACAAAGCCCAGCTTTAAATGTTGACAATAATTCTAATTTTTAAAATCACCCTTCAGCCCAAACAAAGACATCAGGGCCAGCTGGGACCTCAGGGACCCTGGCTAGTTCCTCCCTTCCTGTGACCCCATTACCACAGCTCGCTCTGTCCACCCCTTCAAAACCTGTATCTTTGGTTCAGCCTTGTTCCAAGCAAGAATGCCATGCCACCACAGGTGTGAGTGCTCATTCGTGGTTTTTAATGTCAGTTAAAGTGTTTGCCTCTGTCACAAGCAGTGCCCAGTCCTTTGAGGAAGAGAATATGACCAGACCTTAGGGGAACCCTTCGGGGAGAAACTGGGTCCCCAAAGAGCCTGGAGTGTACTCGAAGGGAGATGCTCAGTGTGGAAGCCTCTGCAGGGCTGTGCTGAGGACTGAGGATACCCACTGAGGATGTCCACCTGCTGTATAGCCTAAGTCTCACGGCAGCTGCCCATGGCCAGCCGTCGTCCTACTGTGGTGAGGTCACTGCCTCCTTGCCAGGCAGCCTGAGAGGAGCCTCTGGGACAGAGCTGGGAGTAGGGCAGGACAGGGATTCACAGCTCAAGCAGGGAAGGAGTCAGTGGCCATCTCTCCCCCTCCCCTGTGACAGTCTTCTCTTCAGAATGTCCTTCTCTCCATCCATCCATCCATCCATACATCCGTCTGTCCATCTGTGCTCTCCCAGATCCCCTTCTCCCCAGTTTCAGAGGCCTCCAGTTGCCACCACCCCTGAAACAAAGGAGAGGACAGTGGGTCGCTGAGTGGACAGGCGGAGGGATGTCTGGCTAGCCTCCCCAAAAATGTGCCCAAATCCTAACCCCGTTAGTTGTGAATGTGACCTTGTGTAGAAATAGTGTCATTGCAGACATAATTAAATTAAAGATTTCAAGATGAGATCATCCTGGATTTAGGGTGGATCCTAGATCCAGTAACAGCTGTCCTTACAGAGGAAGGGAGAGGGGATGTCACACGGATAGAGGAAAAGGCTGCGTGGAGAGCCTAACAAAAGGATGGCTAGAGCCACGGCACCCTGATGATAGCCAGCAGTGACTGGAAGTCAGGAGGGGGCAGGGCACAGTCCTCAGAGTATCAGAAGAGCCAACCCCGTCAAAACCTGGATTCTGTACTTCTGCCTCCCAAGTCCTGAAAGAACACATTTCTGCTTTCCTGAGTCAGCCGGCTTCTGGTCATTTGTTACGGCAGCCCCCGGAGACGAACCTACCCATGCTGCAGGCCCTGGCACTGTCTGTCCACATTGCTGTCTTGTGCCCACCTGTTACCACACATTCCAGGACCTGCAGGGAGGCCTTGCCTAAAGCTGGCTAAGACATCATGCACCCCGGGGCTAGACAACCTTGCACGTACAATGGGGAGCAGCCCTGGGACTCCCTGACCATGGGTCGGAGGCCCTGTGTCCAGGCCCTGAGTGTTGCTTTGCTCACTGCTAGAACCCATCATAGACCAGCACACTGTGGCTGCGCATTATGTTTTCTGAATAAGTGAATGAATGAATGAATGAATGAAAGCCTGTCTATCACACACCTTTCCAGGGCTGTGAAGTAAAGGAAGAACAGATTCTGCCCCTTGCCCTCCCTGCCTGGCCTTCGCCCACCATCCGCCAGCCCTGGCTCAAGGCAAGGATAAAAGACATCATTACTGCCCCTACCCGGCCACAGTGAGGGGCACCTTCCAGCTCAAAGGCACTGGCTTCTATGGGACCTGATCGCCCCAGGGATATCTTGTCCCTCTCCTCTCCCTTGACAATGCTTAGCCAAACTGACTCACCCAGAAGCCAGGGACTAGGACCACTCTCTCTGGTGGTGCAGTCATGAAGGGGACACCCATCTAGGGCCTGGACACCAAGCCTGGGTCATTCTGGCTTCAGGCTGAGTTCTGACTATTGCACAGGCTGACCACAAGTGAGACCCACAGAGTAGACAGCCCCTTCAGTTCTAGGTCAGGAGACCTCAGTTATGCCCCCTGCTTAGTTAGACCTAAAGAGGCAAAGCAACCTCCCAGAGATGGACACAAGGACTCACTAATGTGTCACTTACTGGTCTGCACGTCACATGTCTCAGGTGAATCAGGCTCCTGCATGGGGTGAAAAGGGAAGATACAATCATGGCTGCCTTGCGGGCCTGCCACCCAGCTTCAGCCCTCTTCTGGCACACAGAGGGGCTAGCCTAGGCTTCCTGTGCACCCTCCAGCACTGCCACACTCAGCACAAGATCCAGCCTTGGAAGAAGGGCTGCTGGAAGGGCCCAGATGTGGCGTCCGGACACCCGGGTTCTGATACCAACCATGTGACCCTGAATCACCTCTCTGGGCTTCCATTGACCCACAAAATAGGGAAGAAGGTCTCCTCTGTGCCCAAAGCCAATGCTGCACCTGCGATTGGGGGTGGCTCAGTGAAGCAGGGTTGGAGTGCCCCCAGATAGCCACAGCAAGGGCACTTGCTCAGAGGAGCCAGGGAGGCAGTCTGAATAGCTGAGTGGCACAAGACCTGGCTAGGTCTTTCTCTCTGCTAAAGCTAGACACCTTCTCTTACAGAATGCTTTCTTACAACTGTGGGTGGTGGCAGGACTGTTAGCCCATGTCTCTGGTGGAACAACTGAGATTCCCAGAGGGCCAGGCCAGGCCAAGGTCACACAAGAATGAGATTAGATCTCCTGCCTCTGAGTTCAGGTATTTCTACAAAGATGTCCAGCTCCCCCCAAGAAAGAAAGGTCATGTCCAGGATCTTGGGGAAGGAAAGGACACAGTGACAAAGGCCCTGTTGTCCCCACCCATTCATATGGGAACTTCTAGAATTCACCCAGAATCTACTGACTTCCTGTGAGCCCCACTTCTTGCCAGAATATCCCATGTCTCTCTTGCCTCTGGGCCTTTGCATATGCTTGGAGGTCACCTTCACTGGGAAACCTTGATGCTCCCAGGAGACTCTGCCTGTGAGGCCCACACCTTCTCTATCCCCCATGAAGCACTGTGAGCTCCTGGTAAGGCACACTGGGCCAGCACTTCCCTGCCTGTCACCATGGCACCTCAGAGAGTGTGCCACATAGACAAGTAGGCTGGGGGCTGCGTGCCCACTGCAAACTCCCTTCTTCTTGCCTGCCCCAGTACCCCAGGCCCCCTCTCACCCTTACCTGAGCTGCCAAGGCCCCCTCATGTCCCCTATCACACCCTGGGCCCAGCACTGACCTGATTCCCAGCTTTCCCATTGAGCACTGGTTGTGGTAGGGCCATCTCCAGCCTGTGCAGGAGCCATGCCATCAACCTGCCATGGGAGAGGTTGGGCTGTATCCATGTGGGAAGGCTCATGGGGAAACTGAGGCCAGAGTCAGCTCCCCTAAAGCCCCAGACAGATAGCAAGATTGACAAGAGGCAGAGCCTTCCAGAAGCCTCTACCCATGTCTCCATCTCGAGGACCATTTTCCCCCTCCCCATTGTCCCCCAGGTGCGTGTGTTAATTCTATCATTCGAAAAACTACTTTTGTAAAGGCCAGATGTTAGCCTGGGCCAAGGCATATCCGTCTCCTCATAGGAGGTGCAGCATTTGGGAGCTCACCTGGCAGGGTCCCCAGGGGGTGGCAGGAAGGGGACCTGGACGGGGACCTGGACGTTGGGCTGGGGCTCTGCAACTGGCTCCATCTCAGCTTCTAAGAACCCAGGACTGGGCAGGGAAGGGCTCTCCATGAGTTCCGTCTCCAGGGTGGGTGCTGGAGGTTCTAAACAGCAGAGAGAGCAGGAGCTAAAGATCTCAGACAGGACTGTGGTTAACCCCTCCAGGGAATAGGGTGTCAGACTGGAAGAATTAACGTGACTGTGTGGGGAAAGCCCCTTGGGATCACCCCAAAGAACCCTAGCCTCAAACAGACTGGGAAGGGGAGGAGACTTGGCAAAGACCCCGTGAATCTGCCCCAGGACTTCAGATTCCCAGCCTGAGCCAGGGAGGAGGCTCTAGTGTCCCACATACAACAGCCCACTCCTGGCAAGCCCTGAACCCTCCCTCCCCTGGGAGAGGGTTGAGAATCTCTCCCAAATCTCCCAGGCCTGCTTCCTCCCAGCCCAGACTGTGACCATCCTGCTCCCCCACCCCCAGGCTTATTTCCTGTACCTGGACACAAGACAGCATCTACAGGTTCAGCCCTGCAACCCTGGACACGAACAGAAAGCAAAGTTATACATTGCAGGTCACAGATCAAAGCAAGCCCTGTGCACACCACATCCTGGCCAGTGGTACCCTGACGTGAGAACAGTGCAGGGGCTGAGCGCTGCCCCCGAAATCCCCATCACTGGGCACTCACCCTCCATCAAGAAGATTGCAAGGGGGAGATCACCCTGTGGGACCCTGGGAGAGAGGAAGGCCTGCTGGAGTGGGGGGACATCCTGATGGAAAACCCCTCCCAGATGCTCAGCTGTCCGCCCCTCCCTCTCCACACTCACCTCAGAGAGTTTTGGGGGCTGAGGCAGCACTTTCTCCAGATTCTGCTCAAGCCACCTGAGCAGCCAAGGACCAGACCTGTGGAGGAGCCAGTGGGCAGCTGAGGGGAGGAGCAAGACACACCATCCTGACTGTCTACTCGGGGCCTGACCCTCAAAGGGCCCCCAGGAGGCCGGGAACTCCTGACATGAGGAAATTCAGACCCAGGGCTGGATCAGGCTCTGGAGCAGCTAATCCAGCTTTGGCTTCCTGAGGCAGCAGGTGAGGAGCTGAATACTGGGGATCTCAGTGTGGCACAAGAAGCTCCCTGTGACAGGGACAGATAAAGCTGGCCTTATGGACCTGTACAATCACCCACAAGGCTCTATACTTAGAAATACCCATTTTTGTGTTTAATGCATGTTATAGCTTGTATCTAGATGTCCTCCCAAAGCCCCATGTAGTCTGAGGTGGGGAGTTTTGAAGAAGACTGGATTAGTGTGTGTGAATGTAAATTAAGGGTGATATTGGGACTAAGGGGTTCATTAATGGAAGTCACACCTTGGGTGTGGGTGGCACCAATCAATAGGCTTGTAGCCTGGATGAAATATAAAGGGACAGAAAAAAAGTGGGCTTGCTGCTGCCTGCTGCCTTCTGCGTGCCTTACCATGGACTGTTTCTCCTCTACAATGTCCTTCTGCCATGCTACTCTGCTTTGGAACCAACTGACTATGTACTGAAACCTCTACAAACTGTGAGCTGAAATAAACCTTTCCTCCTTAACTTTGGGTGTTGGGTATTTTGTCTTAGCAAAGAAAAAAGTAACCAAAACAATGCACAACTGTCGTAGTCAAAAAGTTAACATTTTTTTTTTTTTTGTCTTTTTCATTTTTATCGGTACCGGGGATCGAACTCACGACCACCTGCTTGCAAGGCAGGTGCTTATGCCGCTGAGCTAAACCCCCAGCCCCAAAGTTAACATTTTTTAAAGGAAACCAGCATTTTCATCTTGCACTGGATGCTACCAATTACATGCTTCCAGGGGCAAATGCTGGGTCCCAGATCTAGCTGGTCTTCCAAAAGCCCCAGCCTCTCCAATATTCCCAGGCCAACTTTCCCCCTAAGAATGGCCCAAAAGAAAGCTGGTAAGTCTTCCTGGTACTCGCATCCTCAAAGGCTTTGGGGGTCCCAGGAGTCAGCCAAACATCCCTCAGAAGGAAGAAGAGGACCCCCAAAACAGGGCTGGGGCAATGCATGCATGGATGGAGGGTGGTGTTGTCTGTGTTGATCTATTCATGTGTCCCATGCATGCAGACTCCCCACTCAGTGACAGGACAAAAATCCCTGTCCTCAGTGGAGTTAGCAGTCTGATAAAAGAATGAAGAAGGAATGAATGAAGGGGGTGACTGGAGATGAATGCTTCAGGCTTATTTCAGGGGCCCACAGTGTCCTAGAAACTCTAGAATTGTTATCAACATCTAAAAATGAGAATTTACCTTAAAACCTAGATTTCTGGCTACCTTACAACACCAGCAGCTTTAGCCATCTTGGGCCTACACTCCCACTGAGGCAGAGGCAGCTGGACCTGAGCAGGGACCCTGCAGCAGGATATGGGCTCCCTCACTCACCAATCAGCCACCTTCACTGACAAGGCAGCCACTCTCTGTCAGCTCTGAGGAGTCCGATGCTGCTGTGGATTCTGAGGCTGACACAGCTGAGCACCCCAGTGCCCCCCACAATGGCCCAAGCTCAGCCGTTGGCCTCCACACAAACCCCAACCCTACAAAACCCATGTTTGAGGAGCTTGTCCACATCATTTCTGCCTTCTCAGAAGGTGGCCCCAGCCAGGGTGTCCAGTTAGCACTACCACAAGCCTCACACAGCACATAGACATTGTCCCCAGCCTATGGATGGTGACAGTGAGGCTCAGAAGAAGGACAAGTCAGGTGCAGTGTCACACAAAGAGGGGGCAACAGATACTATTCTGAACCCAGAATCTCAGCTGTAGGGACACTGTCACAGCCAACAGGTGACAGTGACATGCAGTGATAGGGACTCACCTGGCATCTTGGGCTCTGGGGATCACATTATGTCCATCTGTAGTCCCCATGGGGTCAAAAGATAGAGAAAGGCAGGGAAGGAGAGATGGGGAGAAGTTGATCAATGGGCACTGAGTTGCAGGCAGGCAGAGCAGGTTCTGACGTGCTCTGAACGTAGAGTGGCTATGGATGGCAATGGGTCCTGTCTATATCACACACCTGTGCACACCTGTAACCCCAGCAGTCTTGGAGGCTGAGGTACGAGGGTTGCAAGTTGAGCCCAGTCTGGGAAATTTAGCAAGACCCTGTCTCAAAATAAATTTTAAAAAGGCTAGGGGTATAGCTCACTGTGAAGAGCCTGGGTTCAATTCCCAGTAATACAAGATTTTTGTTGTTGTTTTGAGACAGGGTTTCACTATGTAGCCCAGGCTGGCCTCAAACTTGTGGCAATCCTCCTGCTTCACCATCTTGAATGCTGGGACTACAGGCATATACTACCTGATGTACAAATTTTTTTTTTAAATCTAGAAAAAAGAATTTTGAATGTTTTTTCCCTAAAGGGGCAAAACTCGTAAAGAAATGAGTAAAATTTGATAGACCTATTACAAATATGTATGTATGTATGTAGCAAAATATCACATAGTATCCCATTAATATGTAGTTTTGTGTTTTGAAGTATCAGTTTAAGTATCAATTTTTAAGTATCAGCTTAAGAATTTGATCAAAAATAAATTAATAAATTGCAAATAAAAGCATAAAATCAATGAGAAAAAGAATGTAGAGAAAGATGGTCAACTGCAAGAGACCTGCCTGGAACCAGCCCAGAGCCCAGGGAGCCAAAGGCAGGAACCAGAGAGCCACTCCAATCCAGGTCCACGCCTAGAGAAGCTCCGGCCAGCATGGGCTCTTCCAAGGGGCAAGGCCCATCCCAACTGCCCCTTGGCTCCACCCTGAAAATTCACCCTGCTTTGTGGCCTTACCTGTGTCCCCAGTGCTGCAGGGCCCAACGACCTGTGGTCCATCCTACTGGGACAGACAGACAAACAGACAGACATGGCAGGGAGCCCCGGGCAGCCTCCCACCCAACTCCTCCAATCAGTCCCTCTTTGACCTCCAGACCCTGCAGTACCTGAGCTGGAAACCCTGTGTCAGTAGCAGTGTTCTGGCCATTCCTATCACTGCAGACAGGCTGTGGCACAACCTTCTCGACACTCTTCCTGAGCCAGGTCAGCACCCAGCTGCTGGAGCTGCCAGGACACAGACAGAACAACCACCTACCCTCAGCCCCCAGCTGCCCGGCCTGCATGGCAGCCCATAGTATCCCAAAGGACAAGGCTTGAATTCCAAAGCACTGTGCCCCCACTGAGGCATGCACATCACATCTCTCCCGAGCCCCGTGTTTCTCTCTGGCCAGCCCTCTGAGGCTAGGTGTTCTGAGTACTGTTTGAAGCCCACCCACCAGCTGCACAGCACAGCACAGCCAGCCTCTTCTGTCCCCGTCCTGTCATTTTGGGCTCCAAGCCCCAGCCTGCAGTCGCACACTCGAAGCTCCAGAAGATCTGTAAGGTGGACCTCTGGGATGCTTGCCTATGTGAGGGGCTCAGACTTCCTGCCTGAGGCCAGTGTGAGCCTCAGGCCCACACATGTTTAGTTGAAGGAGCACATGGGCTACAGTGTCTGAGCCGATGAGGAGATTCCAGGTGCAAGTGCAGGTTCCTAGCTTTGCTAGGAAAATCAGGAGCCCTGAAATCAGCCCAGCTCCCTGAGACAGCCCTGGGCTCCTGAGAAGGGGAACTCGTTACTGCAGCCCCAGCCTCCATTTCTCCAGGTCAGGATGCCCAATTGGTCCAGGAGACCCATGTGCTCCCTGAAGCTCTCCCCAGCCAATTCCCAGGATGCCACAAGCCCTTTGTCATACAACTCCAGTCCTGAATGCAGTGCTGCCCTCCCCTCCACAGCAGCTCACTGGCTAGGAGGGGAGTGGGGATGCCCGCCCCAGGGAGAGGGAGGGTGCTGAGGTTACCTGTTCACAACGGGAACCACTGTGACCTGGGCCTGGAGGGCTGTGGGCAGAGGAGGGGCAGCATCGGGGGTCTCTGGAAAAGAAAGCCCCAGACTTTAGATCTAGGCTCTTGGAGGGGCCCATTTCTACACCACTGAGGAGACTGTTAGTTGCAGGAGAACAAGGAAAAACCCAAGGTTCAAAAGACCAGGGTTCCCATTCAGCTCAGCTGAAAAGTCTCCAGGAGCCCATCCCAAGCTTCTCTGAGCCTTGGTTTCCTCATCTGTGGAATGGGCTGCCATGAGGCTCTGCCAGGGCTTCCAGCACTCACCCTGAAGGCTGGGGTCAGCCGCAGCCACTTGTTCCCCATTAGCAAGTTCTTCAGGTGACTGGAGGGTTTAAACAAAACCATATAAACTGTGGTTAAGATTGTCTGGTTCTACAGGATCAGCCCCTGATTCACCCCAAGGGACCCATAGCCCCCAAAGGGCTAAATGGCTCTATTTTCAACCAGCTCTGTAAATCCTGGTGGCCTCACTTTCCACCTGGAATGTTCCCTCTCCCTTAGCTCTAGGAGTCCCGCACCCAGACCAAGACTGCTCTCCTACCTCCCAGCCTCCCAGACCTATCATATCTCCCAGGAAGCTGCACCACTTTAGTGACCTGAGAAGAGGAGCAATTAGTTAGGAAGGCCTGAGACAAGCTCCGGGGAAACAGGAAGGAGAGGAGCCCATTCCCGCACCCAGCCAGGGCCCACCCTTCTGCTGGCACCAACTTCCCATTCCTCTCCAGGGGCCAGAGTTCTGACTCTGCCTTCTGCCTCTGCAGCCACACCTCCTGCTACTGCCTGCACCTGTGTGTGTAGACAGACAAACATGCATGTGCACATGAATGTGTACACACTTCACATGGATTTATAGTGTATATGGACACACAAATGTAAGCATGTATACACATACATAGGCATATATGCAGTGACACAAATACATGTATAATGATATACCAACAAGTACCTATGCACACACATGTGTACACATACACAGATGCCAAGCATATACACCCATACACATATACATATGCTACAATGTATACATAGCAGCATATGCAACCAGGCATATTCCATGCATGCATGCGTACAGGAACACACATATATAGAGACCTGCCAGTGTAGACATGCAGACATGTGCACACACATAAGTACATTTGCATGCCTCTCTCTCTCCACATATATATATATACATATGTACATGCATAAACATGTATGTGCTCAGTATGCTCAATTATATAAAGTTATATGTACATGTGCATATTTGTATATATGTGTGTATATATACACATACACAAACTGTATCTATATATATGAGCATACATGTACATACACACAAAACATGAATATATTTACATACTCATACAGTATATGTCACATATAAACATGGAACCACAGACACACTGAAACGTGAAAATGCACACAAACTTATATATGTAAGATACACATAAATGCTCACACATTGGCTGATATGCCCATATGTGCACACAGATACAGTACCAAGGACACACTAAACACATACATGTATATACACATGTACACACACATGCCCTGTCCCCATTCCTAAACATGCCCTGTACTTCCCTAGCTTCCCTCCACCACAAATGTCCGCCCTCAGCCCCTCCCCAGGTGAGAATTCTGCCCAGCCCTTTGCATCTAGGAAGCACTTTCCTCCTGCTCTCAGCCCCCGGTGTGATGACCCTGTCTTCAGAGCGCCTCAGTTCTCAGTCTCATACACCCACTCGCTTTTCAGAAGGCAGGACTGAGGCCGGGGTTGGGGCTCACACATTCCCTCTCGCCGCCATCTCCTGGAGTAACAGGCTGACTGGGTAACTGACTGCCGGTCTCAGGGCCAATGCCTTATTCATCTTCACCCCCTTCCACACTGAGCACAGGACCTAGCATCAGTTCGGAGGTAAATCAAATCTGTTTGCCTGAGCTGCAAAAGGAGACCTCTTCAGGCTCATCACGGGATGCAGAACAGCAAGTTTTGATATACTTGAAGCAAAGTCCTAGAAAAATGCTCCTCACTGTGTGGTACAAGCCCCAGTGCCAATCTGCAAACTGATGCTTGTCCATGATGATTCAGTAGCTCCCTTCAGAACGTAAATCAACTCCCTGCTTCCTTCACCGAGGAAAGCGTTTCTACAAACAAATACCAACTAAGCTAACAGAGTACCTAGTTACACTGTAGATTTACACAGAAGACTTTATTCTGAGCATGTTCCTACTCTCATCATGGACTGAAGATAAACAATTCATGCACTGGGTCCTTTCAGTGGCTCTGCTCTGGACTCCAGAGGTGGGGGTGGCCACATCCAGTCTGCTTTTTGTAAAAATAAAGTTTTATTGAAACACAGTTATGCTCATTTGTTTAAGCATTATGCCTCGCTGTTTCCATACTGTAATGGCAGAGTTGTGGGGCAGAGATGGCACAGCTCACAAGGCCTATCACATTTACTGTCCGGCCTTTTATTAAAAACTGCCATGAGCCAGCCCTCTCCAATTGCTGGCCTGGAATCCTCATTTGGGTGTTGGACTAGCAGCTACTATCACTGGCTCAGACTTTCTTTCTCTGTTATAGGCCTATGGGAGCAGAGGGCCACGCTCTGAATCCCCAAGCAGCAGCTCAGCCTTCCCTTCCTTGCCATCCCCACCCCTCTGCTTCTCACCAGAGAGTCTCCCTCTGGCTCAGCCTCCTCAGGGGCTGCTTCAGGATCAGGCTCCAGCACCAGCTCTGGCTCTGCTTCTGCTTCCTCTTCTTCCTGTATCTTGCTCTTCTGAGGGGTCCCCGGGGGCTGAGGAAGCACCTTCTGGACCCAGCCCAGCATCCTGACACCTGTATGGGAAAGATGACCATTATTCCCATCATCTATGGGCCATGTTTGTGGGTTATATATTTCTTTTCCTGGTCATCATCTTTAAGAAAGTATTTCTGCAATTATATGACCAGGAAGTTACCTTACAGGATTACTGAGGTCCATAAACATTAGATAGATTGATAGATAGATAGATAGATAGATAGATAGATAGATAGATAGATATTCATGAAAAAGAAGAAGCAAATCTGTTACAATTAGCATGAGAAGATGCCAATGCCCTGGGGTTAATCAATTCATTAGATTCTCCATATCTCAGTTTTTTTCTTCTTTTTTTTTTTGTCTGTTTTTCTGTACCAGGGATTGAACTCATGATCTTGCACTTGCCAGGCAGGTAGTTAAGCACTGAGCTAAGTCCCAGGCCCTCCGTGCCTCAGTTTTGCTTGCCAATAAAATGAGGACATTGAGAGCACCTCTCCCATGGGCAGATTGTGAAAATAACCTGAACTTATGGACAACATACTCAGAACAGCGACTGGCACATGCTGACAGCTACATAAAAGTTGGCCAGGACTACTGTGGGGTATCAAATGAAAACACTATGTGCTGCATAATCTCATGATAAATTAAAAATATATATTATGAGTAACATGAATGAAGAAAATCTGTTGCTTAAGATAACATCAACTTATGTTCATGATTTTTAAAAATAAAACGTCAGTTTAATGTCTTTGTCATGGCTTACAATGACATTCCAGTTCTACCTTATACATACATGTTCAGTTTCTGGCTTTTATATCTTCAGCAAATAAGGACCACCAGACCATGTCCCTACATCTCTGCAGGATGGTCTGGCCCGGCCAGCACCATGCAGTCAGTGTATGCACACTGCCAGTGCCATGTATCCCCTTCCAAGGCCATGGCTCTCTGCCCCTCTCTGCCAGGGACCCTGGCTGCAGGTGGGAAAGTGCAGGCTCAGGGCCCAGCTCCTTAGAGTCCCTGGTGGTGCTCCCTGACCTCTGTGCCTGCTTTTCTAGGCTCTATAGTCCAACTTCTCCTGGGAGAGTCCACGGTGTTTGCACAATCCCTAGTGGGGAGGCAGGTCAGCCTCCAAAAGAGCCCTCTGGTACTCCATTTCCCTGCTGGGTGAAGGTGTGGACACCATGATTTTCCTGGATGGTAGAGCCCAACGTCACATGTGTGGTTTGGCAGATTCCCTGGACCTTTGCTGGCTGCCGAGAGCTCTAAGAGCCAGAACAGAACTAAACCCTTGTCCTGCCTTGATCATAACCATCCCTGACCCCAAGGAAATAGATAAGACTTTCCATCCTGGAACATATTCAGGTCAACAGAATTGCCCAAGGTGACAGGGACAGAGAGTAACTAAGCTGAGTTTGCATTCGGGTCTGCCCAATCCCAGCTGTCCCTCATCTGTCCCAAGGGTACTGATGTTTGTCCTCTTCTGCAGGCCAGATCTGTAGGTCCTTTTCTGGTTGGCAGTAATTCTGGCTTGCATTTCTGAACCTTCTAGAAATTATTAGAGAGGCTGCCTCCAAGTCCAATTTTTCTTGTTCCCCTAAACACAGCCAGTCCTCCTGGATGGGAACTTTGTGGCTGCTCCCCACCCCCACCTTCATCTTGCTGCTATGCCTCAAATGACTCACTTTGATGAGGGAAACTCAGAAGAGGGCCTGGGGGTGGCATTCCAGGGAACTTAGGTATTAGACTATCAGCATTTCCAGATCTTCCTAGGGACCAGGATAAAATGCAGATCCTAGGTTCCCCTGACTCTTTTGAGGGTCCTGGAATCTGCAATTCACAAGCTGCCCCAAATATTCTGATACATGCCAAACTTAGAGCCCCACAGAGGAAAGGGAAATCACAGGTGACCTGCCTTGTCTATTTCATCACACCCAAATGCCTTGCGAGGAGCTAAGCACAGGGTTCCCCAAGTTACCTGCTCAGATGCCAACCAACAGCCAGGAATTGCCTTCTTGCTGCCACTCAGAGCTGGCCTCTGGGACACACAGGATTAATTAGCAATAGCTAGGCTGTGCAAAGGATTAACAAGTACAGCAGGGGGGAGGGTACAGAAGAGGCCATTAATGCTTGGGATACCAGCAACAACTCCCAAGCAAGCATCCAGCAAAGACCTTTGCCCAAGGTCTGGTTGCTAGGGAAGCTGTCCAGGCATCAAGGTCTAGCTCCCCATATGCCTTGGCCAAGCCACTGAGTGGCTGGTGCAAGAACAAGAGTTTGGGGTCCCATGTTGTTCTGGGAGACTTCAAATTGCTAGGGTCTTACTGTCAACTCAGCAGGGCCCAGGGTGAACCCCATCTTTCTAGCCCTATGTCAGGTTCTTTTCAGGTCCTCAGCAGGCTCTTTCTAGCTGGCAGTCTTTAATAACTCAACTTTTTCCAGAATTGCCATGGTCCCATTCTTCATATTCTGTCTCTAAAGAAACAGAATATAAAGCCTCACAACCAGGTAGGCCAACAGTACAATCATAGTCCAATCCTCAGGTCCAAGAGCCTCAGAAGGACAACTGGTATAACTTGCAGAATCCAAGGACCAAAAAACTTGGAGTCTGATGTGTGAGGGCTGCAACCCCACTCAGAGAGGAAGAGTCAAAGACAGTTTTCCTCTCCTCTACTTTATGTTCTGTCCAGGTCCCCATCAGACTGGATGATACCACCTATATTCAAGGCAGGTCTATCCATTTAGTTTGCTGAACCACCCACCAATCTTCTCGGAAACACCCTCATGGACACAGCTAGAAGTGTGCTTTACCAGTTCTCTGGGCATACCTAGTGCAGTCAAGTTGATGTCCCAAATTAACTATCACGGGCTCCAAACACTGGCAGATAACAGACTGCATTGAATTTGTGGGGAACTCTGGGGAATCAGAGACCTAGGGGGAGAGGTGCATGGGGCAGGGACCTTGGCAAGAGGGACCATAGAGGGGGCTAGGGTCAAGGGATGTTTAGCAAAGGGGCAGGGCCTGACCATCTGCAGCATTTTTGGATTTTTTCCTTGTCACCTGACAGCAGACAGCATTGGCACATGGAACAGAAGACTCAGGACCTGCCCTCACAGAGTGTGCATGCCAACAGGGGAGGTAGATAAGGAGATCAATGACAGGAAAATAGTTCAAAGTATCCCGAGTCAAGAAAAAAAAGAGATATGTGTGTGATGTGAGAGGCAGTGGGGAGGTGAGCCTCTAGAAGTATATTTGAGCTATGAGGTATGAAAAACAAGAAGACTGGGCTGGGGAACGACCTGGGTGGAGCCTTGAGAACAGAAAGGCAGCTGCAGGCCTGGAGTTTAGTGAATATAGAGCAGAATAGTGAAAGGGAAGGTTAAGAAGAGGGTGGGGTCAGATCAACCCCATAAAGGTTTAGTGGATGGACCATGGAAGCCAGCAGTCTTAGCTCCATTCTGGAGGCTATACCAAAACACCTTGGTGGGGGTAATTTACACACAGCAGAAATGTATTGCTCACAGTTCTAGGGGCTGAAGAGAAAGGTAGATTTGTTGTCTGGTAAGAATTTGTTTGTCATGGATGGTGCCGTCTGTGCATCCAGTAGGGGTGAACAAACTCCTTTGAGCCTCTTTTATAAGGACGCTAATCCCACTCATAGGGCTAGAGAGCCTATGACCTAATTACTGCCCGAAGGCCCACCTAGTAATACCATTGCATCAGAGATTAGGTTTGCACATGTGAATTCTGGGGGGGGGGGGGGGCACGCACATTCAGACCACAACATGTGCGATAGTTTTGAACAAGATTTGCAAAGAACATATGTAGTTGTTTTATAGTGGCAGGTGTGAGACCAGAAGCTGATTTAGGAGGGACAAAAAATTTGTGACTAGGATATCCCTAGGCTCGCCCTTGAGAGCAGGGCTTTGAGACTCCTGATACACAACCCCACAAGGCCAGTGGTGTAGGAGAACATTCTTTCTGCCAACAAGGCCAAAGCCAATGGCAAAGCTCAAAGTGGCTGCCATTCCTTCTCTGTTAGGATCCCAGGCTTCAGGGGCCACAGTTACTCCTCACAGTCATTCTGTCCAAACCTCTGCAAGAATAGAAGTCAGGACTCTGGCTCTTTTCTGAGCCTGCAAGTGGTGGCCTATGGCATCAGTAATAGTCACCCTTGCCTCTGGCCTGACAGGGAACAAGGACAGAATTTGGCTAGGCTGATTGCAGTAAAACTGGGAGGAGAGAAGGGGAAGGCAAAGGGAGGTGTTGGGAATGTTGTTTGGGTAACAGGATGCAGGTTGCACATTTACCAAAACATGGGATGTGGTGAAGGCCAAGAGGTGGTGGAGGTGGTCAGAGGAGATCACCACCTGATCTGAGACTTGAGATGTGTACCCCTCTGCTCCATGGGGGAAACTTGGAGAGAGCTAGAACCCCGAGGGAGTAGGAGGAAGAAGGCAATGGTAGATGGGCCTGGGTGCAGGGTACTGAGTGCAGGCAACCTTTCCTCAGAGCGAGGAAGTCTGGGGGCAGCAGGCAGTGGAGTATCACCTGCTAATCCCTGGCCTGCTGAGGCCACAACTCTCCCTGATCCTACACTGAGCCCGGGTACTGGGCACAGCTAATCTCTACCCCTAGAGCCCCAAGGGCTGGCAGACACTGCAGGGTTCTTTACCTTGAGGTTTCAGGGAGGGACAAGCCTACTCAGCTTCTATGTGCCCCAATGCAAGGCCTAGGGTCTTTGTCTGTCATAGACAGGAGCCTGGAGACCCCAAGAGAGACACTAATTAGCTTAGGATCACAGAGCCTGGGTTAGGCTCAGCAGCCATCCCTGGCCTGCCCCAGCCTGGTCACTTCAGGGAGCCCAGCTCCCTCTCTGACATTTCCCAAGATGCCTGACTCTCTGCCCAGGAGGAAGGGAGCACCCAGGGCAGAGTGGCCCTGGCAACAATCCCTTCTTAGAGCCTGCAGTCCCCAGGTTGCCTAGGAACAGTGTCCTCACAATCAGGCTGCAGTGGGCATTGTTTCTGTTGTCCATAGGGCCCGGCCCACCTCCTTCCTCTTCTGCCCACTGAGCAGTCACAAGAGCAGAAAGCTTTTGCAAGTCTGTGCACTCAGCCTGTGCCCTGCAGATGAGGTAGCCGCTGTCGGTGGGTCAGAAGCAGTAAGCCCTCTGTTCCTTTCAGAGCTCCATGTCCTGCCCCTCCCCATACAAGCTCCTTCCGGAGGCAGTTTCCCATTGCCACCACACCCTCTCTGTTCTCTGTGGTCCCAGATCTTCTTTCCTCCTGTACATCGGGCTTCTACCCCATCTCTCATCTCTAACTCAGGGATGGAAAGAAAGCCAACTGAGTCAATGAATTCTTACTAAAGTATAAATGACAGAGAGGGGCTCCTGAGAACGTCTTCCTTTTAAATGAAGGCAATACTTTTCTAGTTTAACTCTGTTATATCTCTCATCTTCTTTAAAACATTTCTAAGTCATCTCTGTAGAATTTTGGGTACATATCATATCCTTAGCTAAGCCGAATCTAGAACTGATCACCTAGAGCCATTCTGAGTTACACTTTGAATCCACTCACTACCGATTTTTCCTATTCAAATTATTTAATTGTCACCTCCTTTAGACCATTCCCTGAGCAGATCCCAGCATAGCAGACAGACCCTCCCCCTGTCACTTTGCGTAGCCTGTGTGTACCTAGGTGGTGTGCGTGTTTGTGTCTTTTTTCAGGACACCTGGCACTCCTGAGAAGTGAGCATACAGCATGTACTCAATAAATACTCAACAGGGAGATAAATGAGCACCAGAGAAAGTTGCATTCCTCCAAGCAAATATATCCGACAGGCTTAGCTCAGAGTGAGCCCCTCTGTGCCTACTGCCCCCTAGGTATGGCTCAAATCATTGACCTGGTGCCCTGGGATGATGGCTCCACCCACGTGTACGCGTCCCCAGCCATCTTGCTCCCGATGGAGAGACAGCGCAACCAGCTGGCTGGTGTGAAGCAGCAGCTTTACCACCCAGCCCTGCCCACCCTGCGCCGCATGGACATGGACACCACCAAGGCCTGCCTCACAGACGAGCACTGCCAGTCCACCACCTACTGCCGCAAAGGTGGGGCTGCCTCATCTGTCACCAGCACTGGGGCCCTGTGGGCCTTCAGAGGGATGGATAGGGAAGAAAAGAGAGCTTGGAGGAAGAAACCATGAACAAATGAAGGGGTGACGGGATGATCCACCTCTGCTAGTCTCTACTCAGAAACCCCCAGCAAACTCTGATCCTCTACGTCCTTATCAGTGAAATGGGGGCAATGACAGGGCCTGCCCCCCAAGGCTGTTTTGAGACTAAAATAAGATGACAGGAAAAGAACCCAGAGCCATGCCTGGCACATATTTCTCCATCAAATGGGATTGCACTTGCTGTGGGAGGAATAATAATTACAACAACTCGTGCCCACCCACCCCTGCATCTGGAATAGGGAGAGAGAAGGAGCCCTCTGCACACCTCCCATTAATAGTTGGGACAGGTACGGTGGGGTAGAGGAATAACTCAGCATGGTTAGAGATGGTATTTAGGAGATAAAGTCAACAGGATTTGTTTCCAGGTTAGAGAGGAGGGGCAGTGGGGCAGGGTTCACGGTGATACCTAGGTCCCTGCTTGGATGGCAGGCAGATGAAGATGTCAAAAAACACCAGAGATCTTCACAGAGACCCCTGTATTCAGGGCAAGACACACATATGCGGGGTTGGGGATTCAGCTCCGCGGCATAAGCACCTACCTTGCAAGCAGGCCGTCGTGAGTTCAATCCCCGGTACCGGGAAACACACACACACACACACACACACACACACACACACACACACGTGCACACACATACATATGCACACACGCATCCACACAAGCATATATCCATGCGCGCACATAACAGAGGCATGCGCATGAGCACACAACAGAGGAGGTGGGGAATGAGTTGAGAGGAGGAGCTCTGGTAAATGGGCAGCCACACCTGCGCCTGCTAGACTCAGGCTCAGGCTGACTGCTCTCTGTGCCATGGGTCCCATTTCCTGCTCCCAAGGGAAGCCAGGAGTCTTGATTTTTAGGGAAAGCTCTGAATTTGTATTAAGCAATTGTAAGCATTTCCCCCCTTTTATCCTGATTTGTAGGAGATTTAAAATTAGGAATATTGCTTTTAATCTGTAAAATTAGTAGAAAAAAATTTTCCATTTGTCTTTTGACTTATGTTTTCACTGTGCAGAACTTTATTTCTTTGTAGTTTTATTTATTTATTTATTCATTTATTTATTGTACAGGCAATTGAACCTAGGGCCATTTTTGTTTATTTTTATTTTAAAGGGAATAAAACAGAACAGTAAAATAAAACAAAACAAAACAGTGACAGGACAGTAGGAAACCCACTATCATCTCTATCATCTCTGCCTGTGCATCATCTGGTTACTTACAGGGTGAGGGGGATAGGGGAGTGCAGGCGGCTTCCTTGTTGCTTCTCCTGGCCAGCAGGGTCTCTGCCTGCGCAGGGTGGTAGTGGGGTCTCTCCTGTGGGTTATGACTGCTGATGGAAGGATACCTCTTTTTCTTCCTTTGTCTTTTTTCAACAGATGAGTTTGACAATGCCCACTTCACCCTCTTGGGAGTCCCCAACAAACCCCTGCAGTGCTTGGTGAGTGTCCTTTTTTGCCCTTGGTCTTGGGTTTGCTCAAGGGTACCAGTTCATATCCAACCCCAGAGACCTACTCCCTGCATCTGTCCTCAGCTGCCTAGGGACAACCCCCTACCCCCAATCCAGGTCACCCATTTTCCAACATTCCCACCGTCAGGTGAACCAAATGTCTGCTCAGGGCTATGGTGTGGACTTGGAAGGCTTGGCTGCTACATCTGCCACTGTGGTCCTGATCTTCATCTCCCTGACAGGACATCACAGCGACCGGCCAGAAGCTCCACCGCAGGTACCGCGAGGGCAAGCTGGCACCCATCGTGCCAGGCATTAACCGGATCGATTGGCCCTGCTTCACGCGCGCCATCGAGGACTGGTCCCGCTTCGTGTCCACGGCCGGGGAGTTCAAGCTGCCTTGTCCGGACAAGAGGGGTCCGTCTATCTGCTGCAGAGAATGCCCTGGGTCGAGGGAACTAAGGCAGAGGCCAGGAAGGACCGGGAGAGCTTGGGGGGGGGGGGGCTACAGGAGGGGACACTGAGATGGGCTGAGGGGCCTGAGGCAGCCTTCAGGTCCAGGTCCAGGCCAGAGGAGCCACCCTGAGTCAGCAGAGGAGCTGGGGCCAAGAAAGGAGCTGGGGCTTTCAGAGGGCACAACAGAGGCTAGGTTTGTTCTCGTGGTGGACCTCTCTGGTTTGCGTGGAGGGAGCACCTTAGGAGTCTGCAGACAGGGCTTAGGCGTGATTTCTGCGTGGGGGCAGGGCTTACATTTGGAGGGATGGGGCTTAAGGGCACCCAAAGTAGATTCTCTCCCCAGTCCAGAGTTTCAGCGGCTACGCAGTGCGGTACTTGAAGCCAGATGTGACCCAGAACTGGCGGGTAGGAAAAGATGCGTGCTGACCAGTACCCGGGAGTCCTGGAGGAAGGTGGGAGGGGGGTCCTCCCATGTCCCAGGCTCAAAAGCTCCAGTAGGGGGCGCTGTGGAGCACGCATGGGATTCGTGATCCACTAGTTTGGCGCCTCTCATCTCATCCCTGTGGCCTGCCCCAGTACTGTCTCAACCAGAACCCCAGCCTAGACCGCTACGGACAGAAGCCCCTGCCTTTCGACACTCTGTAAGTGGTGCCGCGCTCCCGGGACCCCACACTCGGAGGACCGTGGGTGGGGTCTGGGCCACTTTCCTAGCACATACCTAATGGTCCTTGAAAATGTGAAGCCTGGAAAATATTGACTGGCTCCGGTACAGCCCAAGAGAAGTGCAACTTCAAAATGAACAAAGGTTTAACTCCTACCAAATGGAGCACACTGTCACTCAGTTCCTGACAATTTCTCCCTTTCGGAATGGGACAGCGGGGTAATCCTCCTGTGGGACGGCGGGGAGCCGGTCCCTCCTCTTCTTGGTCTCACCCCATTCTTGCACGTTCCTCTGCAGGAACACTTTCCGGCGCTTTGGCTCCCACTACAGGTAGGGGGAGACTCCGCCCTGTCCCACCCCGCCCCGCCCCCGCCAACAAGCCACGCCCCACCAGATTCAACTCGGGCTCAGACTCAGCCTGATCTTGAGCCTGGGCAGAGAAGTAGGGGTGCAGTCCTGAGTGATATGAGGTGGCAGGGGACCAGTGGCTTTGAACCTGGCAAAAGCACAGCTCATGGGAGAGGGTGCCTACCCTATCAGGCCAAGTCCAAACGTGACTTGCAGGAGGGGGTCATTATCTGGGAGGACTGTAAATGACATGTTATAAATATGAAGAAAATATCATCGGGCATGGTGGCACACTAATTCCAACACTCTGGGAGGCTGAGGCAGGGGACTGAAAGTTGGAATCCAGCCTTAAACAATTTAGTAACTTAGGGAAGCCCCTTCTCAAAAAATAAAAAGGGCGTGAGAATATAGCTCAGTGTGGAAGCCCTGGGTTCAGTCCTCAGGGAGAGAAACACAGAGACAGAAAAACCAGAGAGACAATAATCTGCCTCCTGGGATGTGGACAGATCCTAAGACAGGGGACAGGTCCTTCTGGTCAGGAGACAAGGCTCAGAAGTGGGAAAGAAAAGGGAGTGTGGCAAGATTCCAAGTATCTTTGTCATTTGGCAGCTCCTCACTTCCGCAGCCTGCTTCGTACACTTCAGCAGTACCAGAGTCCTTGATACCACCCAAGCCCACCAGCACAGCCAAACACTCTCCAGACTGTGCTTGTCCTGTTTCTGCTCCTATGTGGTCCTTTCTCCTCTGTCTTACTCTTCAAAGCCCAGCCCAGACATCCCATCTTCCTTACAATCTCCCCGGACTCTCTGCCACCCAGATCACTCTTTCTGTTTGGCCACCACCTGTGGGTTACGGCATCTGGAGTATTACCCTCTCACTATTGATGGACAGACGCCTTTCTTTTCCCTGTGCGTTCACACGGGGATGCATTCTAGCTTTTACTACCATGGGATGTGTAACAGAATATGTTCACTAGTGACTGAAAAATGGGTGAAATGATCCAAAGTAGGGGGTCAGTAGGAAATAAACATGAGGCAAACTGGAGGTGCAGGGGGCATTTGAAAGCCAAGGAGAATAGTGGAAAATAGAAAGGAAATAGGGAGCCATCCACACAAAGGCTAGATATAATCTATTTTCAAAGCCTGCAGGAAGGAAGGTGAGTTTGAGGGAAAGGCCTGGAGCAGTGACAGCAAACCTCTCAATGATAATAAACAGCCTGCTATGCCACGTGTGCCTTAGGTTCACCACCACTGGCCTAGAGAAAGCCTAATTTTTCTACAGGACAGTCTGGGGGCCTCTACCTAAACTCTATTTCTCTTCACAGCCGTATCAATTACCTGATCCCTTGGCATTAATCTGTGAAAAGGCCAATCAACACTCAAGAGTCCAGGATCATGCCCTTCAGTTCCCCAGAAGGACAGAGGGAATACAGTGGAACCACCTGCTTCCTGACTAGAAATAAACTTAATGCTCCTTTAGGGAGGTCATGTGTATGACAGAGAGAAAGACAGACAGACAGAGACAGAGAAAGACTGAGAGAGACAGAATAAAACAGACAGAGCAAGACAGACAGACAGTGAGACAGAGACAAAGACAGAAATAGAGACAGAAAACAGACAGAGACAGAGAGTGGATGGGAGGTCAGGGCCACAGGATGATGGTGTTTTACCTTACCTGTCCTCTGCCAACCCCTGGAGACTCTGTGGCTGGGAAAGGGTGTGGTGGCCTTAGCAGAGGGTTAGAATCAAAGCCTCAATCCCAGCCAGCCTTGATGTCAAGAGCACATCTGGGAGTGGGATTTCCTGTGCTTGCAGCCCCCACCAAACTCCTTCCCTCCACCTCAGATTCTCAAGGAAGGGTTGGAAAGGGGTTGTTGGGGTCTCTTGCTGAAGTCCTGCCATACCAGTGTGCTCTGGGGGCTTCCTGGAGGCAGGCTCTGGAGTGGGTTGCTGGCTGAGTCTATGGCCTCTTATCCCTGTGAAGCAGCAGAACGTGGGTTTATACCTGAATGAAGAAGTCCATCCCTGAATGTGGCCCAGAAAACATTCGAGCCCTGTCCCTGGACACTGAGGTGACACAGATGAGATGCCATCCCTGCCTCTCAGGTGCTTTCCAGTTCAAAGCGAGAGACAGGCAAACCCAGCCGATTTGAACTCAAAACCATGCTCCTCCAGCCCAGGACATCATGGATGTAACCCATACCAGCAATTTCATTACAGGTGCATGCCCACTGATTACATTTTTAATCCTGGTTTCATACATATAGAAAAACCACATGCCTAAGTGACCGGCACAGCCCCCCAATGAGACAGAGGACGCTCTTGTTGGTAACAGGTAACTGCCGCTTTATTGTTGCGGGCTCTGGCTTATATATTTGGCCGTGACCAATCACAGGCTGCTACAAGCTGCTCACGAGGAGGCAGGGCTGGAATGGGACGCGGGCTCTGGTTAATATACCCAGCTGTGGCCAATCAGGGGTTGCCACAGAGTCAGCACGGGGCGAATACGGAGTGAGCACGGGGTGGCTAATTTGGAGAGGGACGTACGCATTGCGGAAGCTGACGTGGTCCTTAGTCCCGGGTGGGGTATGGTATGTCGAGCGCCTGCGCCCAACACCTAAGAATACAGGAAATATCAAGTAGAAAGGCATACACAAAGCTGATTTTGTGTGTACAATACTTTGTGTTCTTAAATGGAAGGCAAAGCAAGGCCCCACAAGTTGGGTAATTTTAAACCCATTTGACAGCTGATGAAATGTAGTTGGGGAGGTTACATGGGTGGCACAACATCATACAGCTGGTGATTGGTTCAGCTAGGAATTGAAACCTGCCCCTGGACCTGTGACCACCATATTCTGCTTTGCTGCTGTGAGAGGCAAGCCAAGAGGTGAAGAAACCAGCACCGGCTTCCTGAAGGCATCTGAGTAGGGCTCAAGTGGAGGACAGGATGTTCCATCGAGAAGCATTCCTAAGCCAAAAGCAGCCTGCCGTGGTGGTGCACACCTGTGAGCTTAGCACTTGGAAGGCTGAGGCAGGAGTGATAAAAGGGAAATATTGTAATTCCCAACCTGCTAGATGTCATATACAGTTCGCATTTCCCAAAGTCAAAGAATGAATTCTAGGAACAATGGAAGTTAACAGTAGGAAATTTTATTGAGGGAGAGACAGCTCCTGAGAGACAGGAGTGGGCCCAAGAGGGTTTCCAAAGGAATTTTTATAGAGCAAAATCACAAGGTGGTACAAAATCACTAAGTAGGTACAACATGGGACAAAACTATGATCAACCAATGAGATTACAAGTATAGCCGCTTAGATAATGTTGATCAAGTGAGGAAGCAGTTCACATAGCAAGTGAACATAGAACAAGGACCTATTCTAGAAGAGATGAGTCAAGAGGTCCTGGTCACCCACCTGGGTGACTGATGTCCAGCTAGACTTTATTGGGCCAAATGTTACCAATTATATTGCTTACCCGGGGGGCAGGCATGTAGGCCTGTTCATTCCATCTTTATCTTGAGGCCTAGCCTTCAATGGATACGTCTAGAGCACAGCTCTAATGTGTTCTCATCCTCTACACTTACTCCCTCCAGGGCCTGTCCCTGTCTGTCTGCCTATATTTCTACCTTATAATAGAATTGCCTATAATAGGAGGATTGCCTTGAGTTTGAGGCTTCCCTGGGCTAACTATTAAGTTCAAGGCTCATCTAAACATAGAAAAACCCTTGTCTGAAAAAAACTCTCCCCTCAAACTTTAAAAACCAAGAGCGGCATGGGCTTGGAGTCCCAGGAGTATAACTTGAGTTTGGGGGTTCAAGACCAGCCTGACCAACACAATAGGACCCTGCTTGAAAGAAAACAAAAAAACAGAGTAGTATGAGAAACCTCTTGAGTTGCTGACAGTGGCCACGGTTACCAGGCCATAGCCTCCAAGAGTACTTTGCTCATCATAAAGAAATATCAGAAATCCTCTGATACAATCTTGGGAACAGCCCAGTCACCATAACCTCGCCCTTAGGCCTTCCAGGGTGACCCCAATCCAATATCCTGTTACCCCACACAAACCTCACTACTAGCCTCCTGGTGTTCTAGTGCCCCAGGCTCCTGTCTGCTCTGAGCCTCTGTTGAGGGTTTCTACCCAAAACCACCCTACTTTGAGGCAGGCTTTTCTCAGGTCCTGCCTTCTCCCCTATTCTGCAAAACCATGAGGACAAGGACAGCAGCTACTCAGGGACTTACACCTTCTGGTCCACAGTGGTCTTGCCTGGTAGCCCCTCTTAACTAACTGAGGCTCACGAATTGCCTGAGGTCCCTCTGAACCAACACACAAACCTACAATACAAGAATGCTACTACAAAGCAACATGCAAAACATACAGGATAACTTGGGGCCTGAGGTTAGCTTAGAGGCAGGTGAGTATCCAAGCTGATTGTGGGATGGGGTAAGAGGAAGAACTTTTGCACATAAAATTTTATACTAAATATCAGCAGTTTTGACATATTTCAATCCTACCATTTGCTTCATGAAAACCTCAAAAACACTTATCTGCGGTTCTTTGTGCCATGTGGCATGGGCTCAGGGCCTGGCAAACAGCAGGTGCTCAGTAAAGCTGTGGATGGACAAAGGCAGGAATGCAGATCCAAGGTGTAGACAGAGACATACCCAGTGAAGACAGAGACCCCACTGCCTCCCACCCCTCTGATCTCATTTAGACCATTCAGCTGGAATGCTTGCAGATTTGAGAAAATCAATAGCGGCCAGGGCTCTTCCTGGAGGCGTGACCTTCAAAGAACAAAGAAACCACTTGCTTTCAGATGGGCTGTGGAGCTTGTCATGGGAGAGTCTGGCTTGGAGGCCTTTGGAGAATTTCTGTGGCTTGTGGTCTAGGCTGAAGACTGCTGCAGAAGAGGGAGGAGAAACCAGACCATGGGGGTCTGTAGATGGAGACATGGTCCTCCATGACAGTGCCCAGGAGGCTTAACCCTTATGTGAGCTGCCTCTGCACTCAAGGAAAGATGAAGTGCTGGAGTTTTGATGCCTTAAGCAGCTAAGAGTGGGCTGGAGGGTTAGCCACCCTCTCTGCCTGCTGGGAATAACTTTCCTGCTCCCTGGGTCAGAACCTGTGCCAAAACCAGTCCTGGCCCCTGTTACCAGCTTGCTGCCCAGCAAAAAGGTTGGGTTGGAGCCAGAGTCCCAGGTATCAGTGGCCAGAACTACAGGTCTGTGTGGTTCAGGGCACACAAGACTGTCCTGGCCCCACTGTCTGTCTGCTACCTGCATGTCCATACCAGATTTATGTGGCTAGCCCTCACAACTCAGGCTACTTCCATCACCATGTACAATTCTGGACAAGTCCTGGACCTCTAGATTCTGCCTGCTAGGTGGATGGGCTGTTTACCAAAGGTCACATGGCTAGAAAGTAAGTCGGGATTTGAGTCTGGCATAAGACATAAAGGCACCTGGCCATCTGTCATTTGAGGCAGAGGCCTGCAGAAAGAACCACGTGGCTTTTCAAGAGCAGGGTCCTTCCAGGGACACACGAAGTAAGAGGAGCATGGGGCCCAGTCACATCTGGGGTTCCTGGCCTTTTACTAAGGCTTCTGTACTTAGTTTTGGGGCTCTCCGCAGTGTACACAGCTCCTTGTGCTTTGAACTTCCCCCACCCTCACCCTACACAGCCACGGCTAGGTCCTCCTGCTGGCTATCCTCCACTGACTCTCAGATGCCCAGACCTGGATACCATTTCTCCCTTTCTCTCCCCTTGGCACCACCCTCACCTTCAGGAAATAAGAAGAGGGCTGGGGAGTGTAGCTCAGCAGTGAAGCACTTGCCTAGCATGGGCAAGGCCCTAGATTCCATCTCTAATGAGATGCAGGGCTGGGTATTAAGAGCCTGAATTGCAATTGGGCCTCTGTGGGCAAGACAAGAATGGGCACAGAGGAAAGGAATATGAAGGCACTGAGGTAGAAAGCAGCTGAACTAGGCATGCAGAGGGGTCACTGTGACAGAATGGGCAGTGTCAAAGCAAGAACAGGCCAGAGTCTGGGCAGGACCGGGCTGGTTGGCCACCGCTCCAGGGAGGGGATGTGCAAGTTTCTTGCTTACCATTACCAGTCCCAGCCCTCTGGCCTTCCCTGAATCACTGGTCTCTCACAGCCCAACTCCCTCCTGAAGGGCTGTGGCAAAGCCCCAAGGTCAAAGGCAGGCAAGTCCACTCCAGAGAGCCCCGTGGGTCCTGCAGTTGATATTGCTGGCACTTTCTGTTTCCTCACCAGGGCCTCATCAATAACTCCATATGAGATCTCTCAACAGCCAAAGAAGACAAGAGTTAACCTATTTTTTCCCAGATGAGCCAACTAAAGCCCAAAGTAGTTGAGCAAACTGCCCAAGGTCACATAACCAGAATGTTCAAAACTTCAAATGCAAAGCCAGCCCACCTGGCTCTGTGTCCTATCATTCCCCTGAACAGAACAAGCAGAGCTTTGGTCTGTGATGGTCAATGTCTTTACTTCTAAAGCATACATTGGACTCACTATATATTAACATCAAAAGTGGCTACCTAGAATGGAGTCATTCTTTTTAAAAATTCAAATTCTTACATTTATATATAAGATCCAAAAATGACATGAAATTAAACTACAATGTTATGAATAGTATAAGAAACTGCTTTTAGAAAGCAAAATGAATGGAAAACAGTAGTCGGGACTGTCAGAGCCTGAGTTCCATTCTTTTGAGGCATTATGACCAAGAGCCAGCACCAAAGGGACAGGCCAGCCCCTCTCTGTGGCACAGAAAGGAACCCAGTCAAATAGATGAGGTGGATGCAGCTGTTCAGATTCCGTATGGTGAGAGGCGAGGCGGTGTCTTCCAGCCCCTCCAGTCCCAGGCGTGTGTACTACTCAAATTCTCTTCGAGACCAGGAACAGGTGAAGCTGGAAGAGGGCAGCAGCAGAACTGGGTTCCAAATGATGATTTTGATAATAAAGCCTCTGTGGGCTCTAAGGAGGACCAGCGATCTTGGTCCACTCTATTCACCTGACAGACTGCCTACTGGATTCCTTAACCCACTTGCTCCTCTTCTTTCCCATGCCCTGGACATCTGTCTAAAGAGACCTGGGTGAGACTCTAGGACTCCCTAAAGGAGAATGCTCTGGGCCTGGAAGTAGCTGGATGTTGTCCAGAGCCTAATATCCCCAGGGTCCAGGCCAGCAGCCAGACTGCTGGAGGGTTGGTATTCCCATGGGCTGGGAGGGCACTATGGGGTCAGAGGGCATTCATCACCTTAGCACCTGGTCTGGGCCTTGAGGCAGAGCTGGGGCTAGCTGACTGGGACTACAGCCCTGAGCCCCAGACACAACTGGTGGAAGGACACCTGTGCCTCTGCTGGGGACATCATGGGCTTGGCCTACTACCTCTGAGCCTTGGAGGCCTCTTAAGTCCCCTCCTTTCACATCTGCAATCCCTGACCTGAGCTCAGAGCCACAATGCAAAGGTGAGAGGATGCGTCCAAAACTGTAGGATAAGCCCTCAGCACAGGCTGCTCATCTTCCCTCCTCCTAGACAGCACTGTCTGGTTGAGGGTGTCACAGGAATATATCTGCTTCTCCACTTCTGGCTAGGCCCAGACTCCTGTCCTGAATATCTAGACTGTCAGAAGTGCAGGCAAACATCACCTTTGATGATGGGCAGGCAGACAGGGCTGTGGCTCCCTGTTGGCCTTCCTCACCCCCAAGACTACACCACAAAACTGGCCTTCCTCCCTAAACAGCAACTTGACAGGAATGCCCTGCACCTAGCCTGCCTCTGAGGTGCAGGCCCTACCATAACCATCCCGCCTGCCCCCATCTAATTTCTAACTAGGCTAGAAGATTTGGGAAGGTTGGAGCCACCTGCCTGCCAGTGGCATTCCAGTTCCCAGAGCTGAGGGAGGTGACTGGCTCAGGAGGGATTCCTGTGATGGGAAGTTTATGGAATCTGTACCTGGCTCTCCTCACTGACAGGCTGGTGCCAGGAGCACTTGGCAGTACACACCTTCCCCCTCCCCAGAACCCTCTGTCCTCACTCCCAGGGACTCAGAACACTGAGCTGGGTGGGGCTCTCAGTATGATGTAGCTGTAAGGAGGCTGTAAGGAGGCAAGGCTAGACTGTGCCCAGTGGCCTCAGGGCAGGCAGGCAGCCACCTGGTAGGCGCCCTCAGCAGCTGCAGCTGCAGCACTGTGCTGGGCACTGTGCTCCTGCAGCAGGGCCACGTCCAGAAAACGCTCTCCACACCACACACACTTGAACTGCTGCTCTCTGGCGTGAACACCCTGGTGCTTATTGAGATGCTCACGCTGCTTGAAGGCCTTGTCACAGTTGGGGCACTTGTAGGGCTTCTCACCCGTGTGTACCCGCCGGTGACGTTGCAAGTCTGAAGCATACTTGAAGCGCTTCTCGCAGTCCGGGCACTTAAGCGGCTTCTCGCGCACAGGGTCACAGCGGTGCTGCACAAACTCCGAGGAAGAGAAGAAGCGGCGATCACATAGTGTACAGCGCAGGGGCTTCTCGGCTGCTGAACAGTGCACCAACTGGTGCTTCTGCAGCGCTGACGCCCGCTTATAAGCCTTGTTGCATACGGGGCATTTGAAAGGCCTCTCAGTGGAGCCCGGCAAGCACTTGTGCCGCAGCAGCTCAACCGACTGGTCAAAGCCCTTCTGGCATACGGGGCATTTGAAAAGAGTCTCAAGGGTGTGTACGTGTTGGTGGTAGAGCAGGTGGCTGGGCTGTCCAAAGCCTTTCTCGCACAGGCCACATTTGAAGGGCTCTTCGGTCTTGTGTGTGCGTCGGTGCCGCATGAGTGCATACTGCTGCTTGAAGCCCATGGGACACAGGTCACACTTGAAGGGCCGCTCAGCGCTGTGGGTGCGCTCATGCTGCCGCAGGTCCGATGGCCGCTTGAAGGCCTTCTGACACTCGCCGCAGCGGAAAGGCCGCTCGCCACTTGGGGTGCATGGGTGCTGGAGCAGTTCTGATGACTCTTTGAAGTGCAGCTCACACACGTTGCAGCGGAAGAGGTGGTGCTCGCCCGAGTGAGCATACATGTGGCGCACCAGGTGAGAACGATGCTTGAAGGTCTTCTCGCACACTGCACACTTGTAGGGGCGCTCCGAGCTGTGTGTGCGCTTGTGGTGTACCAGGTGAGACGACTGACTAAAGCTCTTGTCACACAGCGTGCACTTGTACGGCTTCTCACCAGTGTGGATCCGCTCATGGCGAGAGAGCTCTGACAGGTGCTTGAAGGGCTTCTGGCAGATGGGGCAGCTATAGGGCTTTTCAGGCTGCTCTGCAGGGGCTACAGCTGGAGGTGGGGGTGCTGGGGGAAGTGAGGGGCCTGCCGTGGTAGCCGGCTCAGCAGCCTCTGCTGGCTTGTAGGTCTTCTCACAGATAGAGCACTTCACAAGGCCAGTATGGGCACTGTGGTGCTGTGCCAAAGAGGTGAGCAGAGAGAAGCCCATCTTGCAGACCCCACAGACAAAAGGCTTCTGCTCAGCCTGCACACACTGGTGCTCCAGCAGGTCTGTGGCCTGGTGGAAGATCTTGAGACACTGGGTGCACTGGAATGAGCGGTCGTGACCTGCCAAGCACTGGTGCTCGTGTGGGCTGGACAGGTGTGCCAGGTCATGACCACATACCCCACATTTGGGGCCCTGCTCACTAGCTGCCTGGAGGGGTGCATGTTGTGGGGGCTGCAGGCCTGGGTCTGGCTGCAAGAGGATGCCATAGACAGCACAGCCCAGGGGGTTCTCAGCTGTGCCTGGGGGCAGTGTGTGCTCCGCCAGGGCTGGTGGTGGTTCTGCATGGTGCTGAGGCTGCGGTGGCTGTGGCTGCTGTGGCTGTGTCTGTGGCGGCTGCTGCCAGGTTTCTGACATGCTTGGGAAGATGAAACAAGGCTTGGAGAGTAACGGCTTCAGTTTTCCGCTTATGGTGACCCAACCCAGAGAGAGAAGCTGCCCAATCTCAGGGATGGACAAAGACCTCAGATAAGGCACAGAAGAAGATGGGTCAGATAGCCCCAGTCATTAACCAAGAAGACAGACTATGAGGCTGTGTCTACAGGACAAGGGCCTCTTCAAGGCAAGGTCCCCTCCTATTCCTTCCCAGAGATTGGTTCTGTAGGGAAGAGAAAAGACTGTGAGCTGGAAACAGGAATAAGCAACTCTTCCCTGCATTCTTCCCTATGTTGGCTGTACCTGTCACATGGACACAGACCACTTCAAGGAAGGGAGGTGCTCAGGGCTGGGAGATCTGCTTCTCCACATGCCACCAAAGAAGTCTGCTGGAAGCTCAGCATCTCCAGGCAAAATAGATGGCAGCTGTCTCCACTCCTGCCCACCTCAGTTCCCCATCCTTGGAGTAGGGCATCCACTGAGTCCCCTCTAGCTTCCTGCCAACTCTCCTCAGACAAATGTCTCATAGGTGAGAGTCCCAGTGATCTGTCCATCACACCAAGGTCTCCCTGAGGTCTGCCGACCACTCTTCCACTTGGCACCTTCTCCAAATCCAGGGCACTCAGCACTGCTAAGAGGACCAGCCTGCTGATCCAAAAAGATCATGCATAACCATCTGAGAGCTCAAAGGCCTCTGGAAGTCAATATTAAGACAAGTCTATGGAACCAAAGATGACCTCAAAAACCTTCCTATGAGAGTGGTCCACACCTCCCTGCACCTATCCTCAGACCTCATCCCTATTCCTCAGGCACATTCCTATTCTCTACCTACATCCATTTATGGGATGGACGGCCCTGCAGAGACCTGTACCACTGATAATATGGGGGTTAGATGACAGGTGCACAGAGCCACCCAGCCTTGATGCCCATGCAGAACTTCCTCACTTTAATTATGTTCTAGAGCATCACAGAAAACTAAACCTCAAGGTCTCTGTCAAGGTCTGCAGGAAAATTAAGCAATTACACCAGTCTACTTCCACAAATGTAGGATGTAGCATACTAAGAACAGGCATTTCTCCTCATCTCTTCTCTGGAGACAGTCCTTTCCCTTGTTCCAGGTCTGTAAACTCCTAGATAATCAATGGAAGTAAGGCCCACTCAGCCTAGGCAAATCTCTGACTCACCACTCTGTGGCAGCATAAAGTAATGCCAGCGAGAAGGAACTTTTAGTCACAGGAAACCCACTTCTGGATTCCCAGCTCATCTACTCCTTACACTTAAAAGGGTTTTAAGTTTTCTGCTGAGAAGAGGAAGGATAGAAGATGCCTTTATGACATGCTGGCTTCTAAGAGTTGCACCAAAAAAATATTAAAAGTCAAGCTAAAAGTTGTCTTCCTCAGCATCTTTCAGGAAAAGAGGAAGCTTGAAAGGGGCAACCGTTCTTGCTGGAGGCAGCAAGCAGTTCATAAGAGCAAGTACCACTAGGTGATCTAAGTGTTCTGGGAGCATGAAAGAGAAAGGTGGGTTGCCCTGAGCACTGTCTAGGTGTGGCTGTGCCAATCCAGCTTTGATGATGTTTTTCCTGGCCTGGATGGCTGCTAGATTCAGCCCCCATCCCTCCCCTGGCCCAGCTGCAACCTTACTGCCCAACCTGGCTCCCCTCCAAGAAGGTGCAGCCAGGAACCTCTGGGAACACTTTGCAAAAGAGAGGGATAAAAAACAAGGGGAGGCCCCAGCTGCGCCCCACCCCAGCCTTCCTTCTTTCCTTGGAAAGCAAGTGAAAGCCGATCACCTCCCACCGCCCTGCCAGCTGGCCCAGCTGGGCTGCCTCCTGTCAGACCTCGCGCTGGACGGCCGAATCACTTCGACCCAAGAGTGAATGGATGAGCCAAAATAAAGCCTTAGGGCCGCAGGCCGGGCCCGGGAAGTGGCTGCACTTCGAGGAAGGGCCTGGGCCGCTCGGGAGCTCAGGAGGCCGCGGGGTCGGGTTGGGAGGCAGCCCGGCCGGCTGAGGAGAGGGTGCCGCGGGCGCGGGAGTGGCCCCCAGACACCGCCCCAGGCGCCCCGCCGCTCACCTGCTCCAGGCTGCCCGAAGGGCTAGGCGCGGGACGAGCGGTGACCAACTGCTCTCTGGGCCACCCCTTTATTCCGGCTCCATCAGCGGCGGCGCGGCCTACGCGCGCTGCCAATCCTCGGCCTAACGTAGCGGCGGCCGGCCCGGGGGCGGGAGCGGGCTCGCAGCGGCGGGAACCAAGGAAGCGACGCGCGCGGCCAAAATAGCGGGCCGGGACTGAGGAGCGCCGGAAAGGCGGGCGGGGGACGGACGGATGGCCTTGCGCAGACGGACGGACGGGCGGGCAAGCGGCTCCGAGCCAGGGAGGCGGGGCCTGGGGAGGAGCGGCTGCTGGAGCTGCGGCGGCCGCGGTCGCGGGAGGAGCCGGCGGCGCAGAGCCAGGCCGCCCCCTGCCGGGGACCCCGCAGCCTCCCGAGGCGGACAGTCCAGGTACGCAGGGCGGTGTTCGAGTTGCCCGCGGGCGCGCTTCTGCAGGCCAAGGGGAGGCGCACCTCTCGCGCCTTCGCCTCCAGGCCTTAAGGGAGGAGGATCCTGAGCCCGTGCCGTGCTGGACTCCTGCACCGGACGGCTTGGGGCCTCCAGGACCTTTCGGTCTTTACAGTTGACGCTCCTCTAAGCGCTCAGGTTGGCTCTGAGGGGAGGAGTCGTGGGACGGACTGTTGGACTCGTTTGCGGAGCAGGCTCCGGGACCCGAGAAACAGGCACACCGAGGCTGACGGGCTCAGGAGGCCCAGATAGCGCTCCTGCGGCAGCCAGCAGGCGGCCAAAGCGCAGCCTTCGCTACCGCCTAGCTCGACCCCGCCCTGAGGCGGTGCTACCTTAAGCCCCGCCCCCGGGTGCACTTCCGCTCAGCGGAACTCCGGGCGTCGGGTGAGGTTCCCGGCGGAGCTAACCCGTGGTCTCGGGCGAAGCCCCATGAGCACGGCGCCCCTGGTGGGCTACAGCAGCAGCGATTCGGAGGATGAGGCCAAAACCGCAGTCGCCAGGGGACGGACCAGACCGTGGTCTGGGGGACACTGCCGGTGAGGAGCGAAGAAATCTCTCGGGAACGCGGGAATTCGCTTGAGACCCTAGCGGGACCGAGCGTCAGGGAAGTGGGTAGAGGTTTGGGGCGGCTTCCGGGGAAGGAAGAGGTAGGCGGAGAGGTGGGGAAAGAGGATCCAAGGGACACCAAGAGTGCCCCACCCCTGGAGCATGGTTAGGACGTCCATCTCAGCTGCTGGCACGCTCTATCCCCTTGGAGTGCAATACTGTATCATCCTACTTCTGGAACACAGTTGCAGTAATAATTATAGCTAAGCGTATGGAGAGCTTCGTATTTCGTCAGTACTCATCGAACACCTGCTCTAAACCAGACTGGAGACTCCAGCAAACAAAAACCATCAAAGCCACTTTTGTAGTAAGGCCTTAGAGTGTTATACCTGTCGTTGTTGAGTGCTTTACAAGCCGTATCTCACTTGATCGTACAGGAGCTGTATCATGTAGAAATATGCTTTACACATGAGAAACCTAATGTATGCAGAAAGGTTACAGCCCTCTGAGTTCAGGAACTCAGAGCTGCTACTCCAGCTCAGATCTGTCCAGCCAGAAAATGTGACCTTTGAACCATACATTGCTGCGTGCCCAAGGTGCTTCCCATGGGGACCAAATTACCTGCTAAGTTCTTCCTAGACTTGTTGGGAGACCCCAGGGTGGTTCTGTGACTCTCTAGAAGCTACCTCCCTTACCTGCCTGGAAATCCACAGTGAGAGTCACTGTGTGTAAAGGGTTACAACTTTGATTGTAAGTACAGAGTTAGAGAATGCTAAGAAGATAAGTGTGCTTCTGCTTTTTTTTCCTTGCAGTGGCCAGAGCTCCCTTTCCAATGAGAGGTTTCCAGTACCTGACAGTGTACTAAATATGTTCCCAGATGACAAGCCTGAGGATGACAGTGCAAAACATGGGGGACGCGTGCGTACCTTTCCCCACGAGCGTGGCAACTGGGCCACCCATGTCTATGTACCATGTGAGTCATGCATGTGTGGAAGGCAAATGGCTGAGACAATAGTTGCCTCTTGTGAAGCATCTAATCACAAGTAGGAGAAAGAGACCATGGTTCCTGTGTGTGCTGGATTTACATCCCACCCAGCCCTGGTGAACAAATAGGCAAAAATGCCCAGGCTTCAGAGTCAGACCTTACTGTGCTACCCATTGTTCTAGGTGTTTGTTATAAGTTAGTCTTCCCTTACCTCTACAGTAGGGATAATAATGATCTCTGTCTCCTAGAAGGATTAAATCAGATCATCTATGTCAAGTTTTTTAGCCCAGTACACAGAGTAAGTAGTGCCATCAACATCAACCCCAAAATTGGTACATTTGTCACAACTGATGCCTCCATTGGCACCCTATAAACACTCAGAGTCCATAGTTTGTATTAGGGTTCACTCTTGCATTCTATGGGTTTGGGCAAATTTATAGACTTACATCTACTATATACCATATAGAGTAGTTTCACTGCTCTAAAGAGTCCTCTCTTCTCCCTTCTGTCTGACCCCATTAGCCACTGATCTTTTAACCATCTCTGTGGTTTGTCTTTCCCAGAATGTTGATTGTCTGGGATCACTAAATACATAGCATTTTCAGATTGGCTTCTTTTGCTTAATAATATATTTTTAAGGTTCCTTCATTTCTTGTCATGGCTTGCCATCTCATTTCTTTTTAATTCCCCAAAAATTCCATTGTTGGGATGCACCACAGTTTACCTACTAAAGGATATTTTGCTTGCTTCCAAGTTTGGGCAATTATGAATGAAGCTGCTGTAGACATTTGTGTGGATATAGGGTTTCAGCTTTGGGTAAATCTAGGCATATGATTGCTGAATTGCATTGTAACAGTAGTTTACCTTTTAAAGAAACCACTAAACTGTCTTCTACCCTGACTGAATCACTTTATACCCCACCAGCATGAATAAGAGCCCTATTATTTCACTGCTGTGCAGCACTGGTGTCAGTGTTCTAGTAGGAGTGGAGTGGGACCTCACCATTGTTGCCTACTTGCACTTCTCAGTGACCTACAACATGGCACCATCTTTTTGTATATCTTTGGTGAGATGTGTATTAAGATTTTGGGTCTGGGGGCTGGGGATTTAGCTCAGCAGCATAAGCACCTGCCTTGTAAGCAGGCGGTCGTGAGTTTGATCCCTGGTACCAGTAAAAATGAAAAAGACCAAAAAAAAAAAAGTTTGGGTCTGTTTCTTTTTTATTTATCTATTTATTTATTTATTTTTGTCTTTTTCCTTTTTTATCGGTACCAGGGATCGAACTCACGACCGCCTGCTTACAAGGCAGGGTGCTTATGCCGCTGAGCTAAATCCCTAGCCCCATTGGGTCTGTTTCTTAATTGAGTTGTTTTCTTACTGTTGAGTTTTAAAAGTTCTTTCTCTATTTTTAGTACCTCTTACCAGATACATATTTTGCAAATAAACACTGTCCCAATTTATTTTCTCTTGGAAAGTTTTGTTTTTGTTCTGTTTGGTTTGGTTTGGTTGTTTTATTGGTGATACTTTTTTGTTTATGGTACTGAGGATTGAACCCCAGGCCTTCTCATTACCAGCCCCTTGTATTTTTCATAATCACTAAATTGTCCAGTCTGGGCTTGAGTTTGCAGTCTTTGTGCCTCAGGTTCCCAGAAGGCTGGGATTACATGTGTGCCACCACGCCCAGCTTGCCTTTTCATTCTCGTGACTTTCACAGAGCAGAAAATTTTAAGTTAAATGTATCTCATCACTTCTTAGAACTAATAAATGATACAGCAGTCTGAATATGGACTTTGGTGATGCTGCCCATGTTCAAACCTACCACTCGTCAACTTTTGGTTTTGCTGGTTTTCTACGTAAATTTTCTAGTTTCATTGATTTTTGCTCTAGTTTTTATTACTTTTCTTTTGAATTGAATTTGCTCATCTTTTTCTAGATTCCCAAAGTGGAGACTTGGATGACAGATTTTAGATCTTCTAATATACACTTTAATGATGACAGATTTTAGATATTCTAGTATATGCTGTAATGTGTTTTCTAATGCTATATGTATTATTCCAAGTACTTCTTATACTGCATCTTACAAGTTTTGATAGGTTATGTTTTTTCACTTAGTTAAAAGTACTATTAGAAGTACCATATTTGTAAATTTCTCGTGAGATTTTTTTTCTTTTAACCCAGGTGGTAGTTAGAGGAGTGTGTTTAATTTCTAAACATCTTGCCATTTTCTAGCTAATCTTTCTATCATTGATTTCTGGTTCATTTACACTGTGGCCTGAAGTCAGACATTATATGATTTCTAGTGTTTAAATTTTGTTATAGAGTTGTGATATTGTCTGTGTCCCTGAAAACTGTACTTTTGCCTTTTATTATGTGTTTTCGTTTGTTGGGGATGGTGTTTGTTTTTGGGTTTTTTGAGGCAGGATCTCACTGTTTAATTCAGGCTATCCTTCAACTTCTAATATAGCCCAAGCTAGCCTTCAACTAGTGATCCTCCTGCCTCAGCCTCTTGAGTGCTGGGGTTACTGGAGTGTACCACCATGTCAGGCTATCAGTCTTAAAATGTTTTCTTCATAGCTGGATATGACTCATTGCATAAGGACTGTGGTGAATGGGCCTTCAGTAAGGTGGTGGTGGGGTGGGGGAGGAGAAGTGTGCTGCAGCTTGTGATCAGGGCACATCTTCTGATGAGCCAGAGCCTCTGTGCAGTGACCCTGTCTCAGGCTTCTTGGGTTTTTCTCTTCCCATAAGGGATAAGAAGGCTAGAGGCAGCTGGGGTTGAGTGTTTCCCTTCCCCCAGAGTTAAGCTCTGATAAAAGCCCAGCACTTTAGGCTCTCAAGTTTTTCCTAAGGTAGCCCTTGCTCAGAAAAACAGCTCCTGCTATTTCTAAGTGGTTTCTTTTCAGTCCCCAACCTGAAGCACAAGAGGATTTTTCTCTGAAGTCCTTGAGTTTATCCAGGAGATAAACTTCACAGTGTGGGCGCTGCCCTGTAGGGGCAGCTCCTCCTGGAGCTTCTAACTTCATTTCTACACCCTGAGTCTCCAGCAATTTGTCCATTACCACTGACCATTACAGGCCTGGCCCTTGTTCCAGCATATTTCAGCTCATGTGTTTCTGACCCAGTAATTTCGAAGTCTCCATTTTCACCCAGGAGTCTCTCACTTGTCTTACAGATGTAGGAGAAGCTGCTATTTTTTCAGTTTGTTGAGCATTTTACTTGTTAGAATAGGGTGACAAAAAAGAAGAAGAGGAGGAGGAGGAAGAGGAAGGGGGAAAAAAACAATGGGGTGACAACTTCCAAGCTGCTTATATGCCAGACTGGAAAGCAGAAGTTCTTTATATTTCTTGTGTACTTAAATTCTTACAGTGAGCATGTGTTGCTTCTATAAGCAGAAATACACACTAAAACATTAAGCTATATGGTCACAGGCTACTCTCAAAACCAAAGTAATACGGGCTTCTCTCTGCCTTCTGGGGTTCTTCAGGTAACGATGACACCTGGCTAAGATAACAGCTCCCCTGTCCATTCTTCCTCCAGATGAAGCCAAGGAGGAGTTCCCGGACCTGCTTGATGTGCTGCTGCCTCACGCCCAGACCTACGTGCCCCGGCTGGTAAGGATGGAGGCGTTCCACCTCAGCCTGTCTCAGAGTGTGATTCTGCGCCACCATTGGATCCTCCCTTTTGTGCAGGCTCTGAAAGACCGAGTAGCCTCCTTTGAAAGGTGAGTGGTTTCTGGTTTTTGTCTATATAGCTTTTGTTCAAATGAGGTGTTACACAGGACTCCACTGTGTAGATGTGTGGGACAGAAATAGAAACCTGCTAGCCAGAAGCTCACCCTCACAGCTCAGGGTCCCCTAGAACTAGAAATTCCATAGAGCAGCCCCAAAACTGCACTGAAGTCGGTCCCCCTTGGAAGGGTAGAGGAAGAAAGGATTTGCCCCAATCTGATCAGTTAACCAGAGAAAAAGGACTAAAACTCATCTCTCCACCCAGTCCAGCTCTTCCCCACTCTCTGATTCCACTATCAAATTTACTGAGATATATTTTATCAGACCCCTCTTGATCATAAGTGACAGAAACCCAACCATAATTGGTTAAACACAAAAGAATTTAAAATGTTCAGAGATCCCACTGGCTTTGTGCATGAGTAGATGGTAGTGACTAGATGTCAGATGGCACCTGTTTCTTCTACTTTTAGCTGTGTCCCCCTTAAGGTTGGATCCCTCCTCACAATGACAAAGCCACCAGCGTCCACAGGCTGATGCTGCTTGGAAAGGTTAGGGTAAGCGTCAGCCAAAGTTATGGGAATGACTTTGATTGGTCTTACCTGGGATCCATGTTCTCTCCTTTTGAGTAGAATTTTAAAACCCTTTCACCATTCTGTGAGAAAGCTTCCCTTATCCTCCTGGACAAAGATGGCATCCGTCTTTCAGTGAGAACAACAGGCTGCTACAGAAAGGGCAGACAGTATGTTGAGGCCCCTGGTGGGACACCAAGGCTTTGAACCCCATGCCTCACTGATTCCTTGCCTGGGTAAGCTGGAACCTCTGGCAGCTCTACCCAGAAATCATTCATTGCAAGAGATACTGGCTTATGAGGCTGTTCCTGTACTCGCCTGGGGACCAGTGAACATCCCCTGGATTGCTGGTACTGGCTACCTCTAAGGAAATGTGTCTGGTGCTGCCCTCTGGACTCGGTTTCTGGCCCTGTATCCAGAGTGAAACCAGGCTAGCTGTGGCCGCTCAGAGTTTACTTGTCAGATTGAGCCTGAGATGACCAAGAGTAGGCATTGTACTCCTGATTCTGTTACTGCAACTGAGCAACTGCTCTGCTCTGATGGGTCAGCCCTGGATCAGGTGAGGGCTCTTCACTCAGGAGAAGAATGGTGTCCACTGCAGAATATGTCAGACTTTCTTGCAGAACTCTTGAAAATCTATGCTGAACTAATTTCCTGTGGTTCCATTATCACCGGTTTCCCCAGAAAGGAATACATCGTGGAATCTGAGTGAGGAAGAAGAAAGTAGGTGGCTGACTTTATGCCCTGGGCAAGTTGTTGTGGAGCTCTCTATAGCATGCTATGTATTATGTTCCCTCAACTGCATGAGGGAATCTTTGGCCCAAGACTGGGAAATGATCTTTGCTTGGGATGGGACTTATGAGTTGGTCATGAGGGGCAAGAAGCCAGTCTGCCCGCTGAGATCTCCAGTGCTGAGTGGACATAGCCAGCCCTCACCTGCTGGCTGTGACCAGTGCTTGTGTGGCTGGTCTGAGTGGTAAGCGCTGGTGCTTCTGCCCAGCTTTCCTTCCCAATGCAGAAGCACTGTGGCAAAGCATCGCAGGTGAGAAGAATGTCTTTGTGATCAGATAAACTGAGGTCCAAATCCTGCCTCACCAAATTTAACCTGACCAAGCTTCAGTTTCCTTGTCTGGAAAGTGAGTATAATTATGGTGTCCCCGTGATGGGGGATGAGGTACACCAAGTCCTCAGCTCAGACCTTGGCACATGAGAAATACTCTTGTTGTTGGTTAGATTAAGTCAGTTGTCTTTTTTTTTTTTTTTTTAAACTTGCCACGTATGAATTGGCCCTCAAATGATCTATTATCACCAACTTGGTGAATAAGACTTTCTCAGTTCTCATCAGTAAAGTTGAAACGGTCATATTTACAAAGAGCAATACTGGGAGCTGGTGATTTACCTCAGCGGCATAAGCACCTGCCTTGCAAGCAAGCGGTCATGAGTTAGATCCCCGGTACCAATTAAAAAAAAAAAAAAAAAAAAAAAAAGCAATACTGCTCTTAGTAAATTTTTGTGAGCGTCTGAGTGATGCTATGTGTTACTTGAACAGGGTGGTTTTATGGTCTTGTCCTACTCTAATATTTTAGGATTCAGTTTACCGCTTATATAGTGGCTAAGTGAAAATCAGGTAACTGTATTTTCAAAATGCTACTTTTTAGTTGTTCGGAGTGTGTTGTTGCTGCTGTGGTGCTGGGGATTGAACGCAAGCCCTCATGCATGCCAGGCGGTTACTGTGTCACTGAGCTGCACTCCAACCCCTATCAAATGCAGTGTTTTAAAACATGAACTGTTTTCTTACCTTACTGTTTTTCCTGAAATGTGGCCTTCTTCTAAATTTCAGATTCCTCTTTACTACTGACCGGGTAAAGATTTATACCAATCAAGAGAAAACCAGGTAGGCCCTCCAGACCCCACATCTCTACCATAAGAAGATTTTAAGTGCAGATACTGAGGGAGGAGGTGCTTTCTATGTTTTTTAACCATGGCTACAAGACAGCTGTTCCCAAAACTATGAGGTTTTGTTAAGAAAAAGAACTGGGAGAGGAATACACAGATAGAACAGACCATGTTGGCCTAGGGGAAATGCTTCATAATGCAGGGAACCTCCTGTCTGGCTTCATCCTCAGTTGTAAAGTCAGGCTTGCACAGCCTCCTCTGTGACCTTCCCTTTCCAGGGTCCCGTGCCTCTCCGTGATTCATCCATTTTGGGATCTCTGTGATGTTCAAATGAGCATAGTCGGGTTTGAAAAGTTAAAAGTATTAAAGCAGTTACATGAACATGAGAAGGAATTATTATCACCAAGGCTTCAAAGCAAGCCTCCCTGTCCAGTTCGCTCACTGAGCCACTGTCCTGTCTCAGCATCTCTGAAACAAAGGAGGAAGACATCACTCTTTTAAGAAACTTTAATGAGGAAGGATGGGACTGACTGAAGACTAGCTTCTAATAATGAGAGAGAGCCTATGGAGCGCTCATGGGAGGGAGGCAGACACTGAGAGCAGAGGCATGAGAAGGTGCAGAGGAGGCGGTGGCAGCAGCAGGAGCCAGAGTGGGGACTGAGCTGTGGCCTTGGAGACTTAGCAGCGGTGGGTGAAGGTGTCCCTGCAAGGGTTACTAGGTGCAGGGGAGGAGAAGAACCAGCAAAGGGACGTTTGAAAACAGGAAGGGGAGGACAGGGATAGCAGCATGGAGATCACCAGGGAGATGGGGTGAGGCCATGACCCACACCTCTAGACTTTGTTTGTCCTCTGCCCCTGCTTAGGTGATTTGTGCTCTCAAAAGCTACATCTCATGCCCATGTTGTCTCACCTCTGCCTCTCCCCTAGGACCTTTGTTGGGCTTGAGGTCACCTCAGGGCATGCTCAGTTCTTGGACCTGGTTTCAGAGGTAGACAGAGTGATGGAGGAATTTGACCTCACCACTTTCTACCAGGTAATGAACAGGGCTGGAGATAATGAATGGAGATAATTACTGTTTCTTCAGTGAACTGAAACTATCCTTAAAGAAGCCTTCAATAGAGACAAACCAAAGAACCATTCAGAACTTTCCCTGTGGAGTATCCCAAATGGAGTTCACAGAGGACACACTCATGGGATATGAATCTTTTTTCCTTTTTTTTTTTTCTTTTTGAGACAATGTTTCATTATGTAATTCAGGCTGCTCTTGAACTCACTAGCCCAGGCTGTCCTTGAACTCACAGTGAGCCTCCTCCCTCAGCCTCGTGAGTGCTGGGACTAAATGCATGCACTACCATGTGCAGCTCACAACTTTAAACTTCTTTCCGTGCCTTAAATGTGCTTGAGACTTGTGTCTCCTACTCTATCCATGTATGTTTTGTTTCCTAAGTGGTAATTCACACCAACATTTTTTAGTAAAAATGGCCCCTAGGAAGAGTAGCTTCCCATGCCTTCTGCAGCAGCCCTGCGCTCTCCAGCCCTGAACTTGGAGTCAGGTTGAGGGTCAGGGGTTTAAAGCGCCATTGCTTCTATTTGGTACATTTTTTAAAAACTGTGCAGAGTATGTAAGTATGATCTTGAGTGGAGATAATTACTGTTATTTCAAAATTTTAGACATTCTGGATTTTGTTCATGTGAAAAATATAGTATCTTCTAGGATGTTTAGATCAGAAAATAGTCAGAGCCTGGGTCCCCAGATCTGATGATTTTCAAATTTGAAGGAAAGCCTAACAGATTGGCTTAGTTAGCTAAGGCTGCCACAATAAAATATAGGCTGAGCAGGTTAAACAACAGAAATTCATTTTCTCACATAATAGAGGCTAAAAGTCCATGATCAGGGTGCAAGCATGACTAGTTTCTGATGAGGGCGCAGGCAGATAGCTGCCCTCTCACTGTGCCCTCGCCTGGTGGAGGGAAAGAAAGAAGAGTGTGAAGCTCCCCATGTGTCCCCTCCTCATAGCACTCGTCCTGTCCTGAAGCCCTCATGGCCTTCTCACCCTAGTTACCTCCCTAAGGCTATATCTCCAAACACCATTGCTCTGGGGCTTAGGGCTTCAGGATACCAATTTGGTGGCAGGGACACAATCAGTTTGTAATACGGACCAACCACAGGCTATTTTGTCCATCTGTGCAGTCCCTGGGATCAGCACTGAGTCTAGTCTGACAAAAGACCAGGGATCCAGTAGGGTTGTCACAGATGTGCGGTAATGGCTAGGCCTGCAGTACTATCAGGTGACAGCCTGCCTTCCCGATCCTCCTTTCCAGGACCCTTCATTCCACATCAGTCTGGCATGGTGCGTGGGTGACGCATGTCTTCAGCTGGAAGGGCGGTGTCTGCAGGAACTACAGGTGAATTCCCAGGGCAGGTGCACAGAGGGCACTGAACTCCAGAAATGATGGCAGGGACAGTGGGGAGGGGCATAATGAGATACACATAGCTGAGTCCCTAAGATACCACTGATGTCATAGAAGCCTCACAGCAACCCTGCTACTCCAAAAGTATGGTCCCTGGGCTGGCAGGAGCAGCAGCCCCTAGAGGCTGGTTAGCAGTGTTCAATTTGGCCCTATCCCAGATCAAGGAAGACAGTTGCATTGTCACTAACTTGCTAAGGATTTATGTGCACTGCCCTAGTACAGTGATCAGGAACGGGTTACAGACTTCCTCTGCAGTTCTCATTTCTTGCCCAGAGGTCAGGGGCTTGGGCCTGGAACATGCTGGAAATGAGTAGAGTGTACCAGGGATATGGAACACGCAGCCCTTAGAGCTGTAGTGTTTTGATAAGTAGAAGAAACTATCTGCTGTCAGGGGAGACAGTGTACAGGTGGGGGTGACCTACTCTTCCTCCACTCTTCCTCTGACAGGGCGGCAGCGGGGAGTGAGGCCGTGCGCGAATGTGGCTTAGTGTTGCTAGCACTTGCTTTTTATGAGAAGCCAGAAATGTGGATTTTTATTTGCAGTTTCCCAACTTAAAGTGTTGGCAAATATTTTTAGAAAACATTTTGCAAGCCAAACAAAATATATGCACTCCATGGAGACCTTACTATTAGCCTAATCATGCAAAAGGCAAAAACCCTCTGATTTCCAGCTCCAGCAGGCCTGGGTCACAGATAGTTCCACCAGTTTCTGTAACCCAGAGCTCTGAGCATCCATGTCTTCATCTGACAGCAGGGGTGACAGGGCTGGGCTGACCTCACAAGATTGCCTTGGTGGGGGGGAGCAGTGGACCAGTGTGCTAATGCAGTACTTGGAGCCTGCATGGCTCGTGTCCCACGCGGCACTGCCCAGCCTCTGAAGGACCAAGGCTGGTTTGGTTTGTAGGACCCTCTGGCTCTCACATTACCCTTAATGTGACCCTCCTCTCCTGGCTGCTGGCTGAAGGAAATCGTGGATGAGTTTGAAGACTCCGAGATGCTGTTGCGTGTACAGGCCAAGCAGGTCCGCTGCAAGTCTGGGAACAAGTTCTTCTCCATGCCTCTGAAGTGAGCACCAGAAGCCTTCCTGTCCTGGCCCATCTGCAGGGGGAGATGGTGGCGGAGAAGGAGGGGTCTGCTGAAGTCCAAGGGGATGCTCCCAGCCTCCCTCTTAGAGGCTCCAGTGTGTTACAGGTTGGATGCTACTGTGTTGTGGTAATGCCTAGAAGTTACCAGAAGAGGGCATCCTGAGCTTCTCAGTTCTTACTCGGAGGTTAAGCAAAAAGGAAAAATGAGGGTGGGGCGCCCCCTCACTCAGCCAGAATCCCTTGTAGTCCCTCTTAAGAGCTGCCCTTCCCCCACTTCACTCTGCAGTGGTTTCTATCTTGATGTCATCAGCTTCATACCAGGGCTTTTAAAATGTACCATGCTCATCCCTGTGAAGAAGAGAGAGGAGGTATTAGAAGGGATCCGTCATCCTCCTTGAAGTGTGTCTGTTATTATTTAGTTTGACTCTCACCCCCTCCTATAGCAGCAGAGGCCATTACAGGGCCAAGGAACACAGGGTGCTAATTTGTGGTTCCTGTCAGTTTTCTGCAGTCCCTCCTCCTCCTCACCCCAGCCAGGTACCTGGGGAGACTGGAGCAGATGTTTCATTTTCGCCTGGCCATGGCTGGAAGCCAGGCCTCCAACACTCTGTGACCTCAGCTTCCCAATCAACTTTCCCAAAGAGGCAGCCACCTTCCCCCACTCAGAGTTCTGCTGCCTCCTGCTGAGCCTGTAGCCTGCCCACTCCGAAGGGACTGAGAGCGGGCCAGGGATGGACAGGATTTTTTTCATCAAGCCATCACTAAGGTAAAGAACCAGTTGTCTCTATTGTCATCTGGATTTCTGATGATAGGTGAAGAAATATTTTTGTTACAATTTTAAAATATCTTCATCAAATAAAAGCTTTTTTATTTGGGGTCTTGTCTTGGATTGCTTCTCTTTACCAAGGTGAGAGATGACTGTCTTCTGCCACCACCATCTTCACCTGTGGTTCCCAGCGGCTGGCCCACTCAGGGGTCTCTGTTATGACTGCTAAGGTGGCCAGGAAGCAATCAGCAAAGCCTCAGTAGAGGGGGAGGGTCACCCCCATCTGCCAGGTCTGCACACACAGGCTGCTCTGGTGTGTGGCACCCCCATTTGCTCACTGGTGTAAACCCAGCCATTTAGACTTTATACAGCTGTAACACCCTGCCTTTTCTGGGACCTTCTCATCAGTTCTTCCTGGCAAACCCCTGAAAAGTCAATAGAGTAGAATTGATTATTATTTTATGGGAAAACAGGTTAAGTGTCTTGCTTGGGGAGATAAGAAGTCGGGGAAATGGCCTGCCTCGGCCCTGACATCAACTCCTGCTCTGGCACAGCTAGGCTTGCCCTGCGTCTACTCAGGCTGGAGGGAAGTATACAGAGAGGGGCTGTCATCCAGCTGTGCTGCAACTGTACCTTGCCCTGACCCAGAAAATCAAATTCGTGACTTGTTCCCCCAACATCCCACACCGATTTGCTGACTCCACCGGACCAGTCACTTGCTTTTTTGGCAGTTGAGGTCACTGGAGAGGAAGAGAAAGCCAGACATACTTTGTGGCTTGCACGCAACATGGCAACTGGATGTGCAGCCCACGTTACTGACATTTGCTTACTGTCAGGGCCTGAATTGGGCACCTGGATAAATCAGTTGAGGTCTGGCACTCTGGGTGCTCACAGTGCGGAGGTGCAGTCAAGGTTCACAAAGGAATCCTGCTCCCAATTCTGTACTTCCCCAAGTGACTTGATGGGCTCCCGTGGGGGAGGGTACAGTTTGGGATTCTGTCTGCACTGGATGGGATTAGAATGCAGCCACTTTGAGAAATGGGCCAAGATCAATAAATGACTGCTCGATGGAGAATGGAAGGTGGCAGTGGAAAAAGGAAGCAGGAGCTTCGCTGAGGGGGAGGCTGGGCAGCAGGGCTTGGCCAGCACCCAGACATCGAGCGTGCCTCAGACCACAGCGTGTTCAGCCGGCGCTCCCGCTGACAGTGCAGAAGCAGCTGGGGCTCTTCTGTAAGAGGAGACAGCTCCAGGACAGAAGGGAAGACTGCAGCAGGCTGGGGTCTATTCTTAGGTGTGTGGCACATAAGGAAGAAATGGTGGAAGTTGTATCACACCAGAGAGTTCAAAGCCAGCATCTCTGCCCTCAGTGTCCTCAGATGTTCCCCCAAAAGTAAGGAAATGATCATGTGACGGCCTCATTGGCCTGTATTCACATGGTATACCTAACCCTCTCCTTCACCTCCAAAGACCACCCCAGCTTTGTTTCTAAAGGAGAGAATTACTTCCACTGATTCTTTGCGTTGGCCCCTGGAATCACTGGGGACTGCCTAGTTACCCAGCCTTGCAATGCACCAACCACTAAAATACTTTGAGTTTTGCAGGAGAGTTGGTTTATCCACTAGGCAGTCAGAGTCCAAAATCTCAAATCTGCTTCCCTAAGGACAAGGTTAAGGTATATGAAGCAGAGAAGCAAGTGATCTAAGGCATGGAGAAAAGTGCTCAGTGCTCTGTGTGTACATAGTCAAATTTCATGGCCCTTCCTAGGATACACACTGCAAGAATAGAGCATTTGGACCTCTCATGTCAGAATGCCATGCACTGGATACCTGCAAGGCTCACTTGAAGCATGGATGGTTTCAGCTGGTGTGTGCTACCTCACATTGCTGGGCAACTTAGCCTTTAAGGCCATGAGCTATATACATCAGAGGTGTTACCTATAGCAAACCTAACGGGTGTATACTGCTTAGCTCAGTAACCTCTAGAATTGGTGATAAAGCAGGTAAGTAAAAGCAAGTGAAACTAGAGGGTTTATTCTTGGTTGCAGCCTCCCCTTTGATGGCAGAAACCAGGCAACAGAGAGGGGCCTCCTGGGCTCAGCTCCAGCCCATAGCAACTGAACAAGAGACCTCACCCACTAGCTAGTCAGAAACCACCTTTTACAAAGAGGGAACAAACCTTTAGAGAATAATGTGCTGCAGATCATCCAGGAAATTAGGACATGGGCAGTGACCTGGCATCTAATTCAGGGTTTTCTGTACAACCCTTCCTACCACACCAGCATCTCAACATAAAACTGCTATAAACTGTCACATGTAGACTTTGATTCAAGACTCCAAGAAAAGGTGTATGTATGGAGGTGTCAGGCTACAGAGGAAGTACTACTGGCAAAATGAATAATAGTCAAAGCTAGTTAAGGAAGGGCTGGAGTTCACACATCTCAGCCCCACTAGTCTCCTCATACCATCGGTGCTCGCTGGAAATTCAGTCACCTGGTGATGTCTGGATATGCAAACTCACCCTTGGAAGCCCCAAGTTACAGAAGCGAAAACCAATCACTGGGAATGGGTCACAGGTAAAGCCATTTCCTTGTAGGAAGAGAGGGTGTCCCTCTCATGGTGTCATCATGAGAAAAAAACATCATACAAGATTGCAGTGTGTTTCATTACACAGGGCAACAACACAAGTGTCCATATCTGAAGACTACTATATTTTCAAAAAGTAATTTCAAAGAGAATTTAGAGACCCATTTTCCAAGTGAGGGACCCCCCAGAGAAGTTAATGGAAATGGATGAGGCGCATTTGACCTCTTCTCCAAACTCCAACTTCCTTCCGCCACAAAGCTCTGCCAGGCACCTGGTAACGTCCACATAGTGTTTTTACTACACTTAGCAGATCGATTCAAACAGGCCATTTCTGTGTGTCTCTGCCAGGACTCTGTTTTCTGGGAGGTGAGGCCAGCTGGGACCTACTGTAGGATAAACCAGCCTGAGGTAAGGAAAGCTCCCGCTTCCGGGGCTGCCTAGAGTAGGTGAGGTCTCCGCCCATCACCTCCCCGCCTGCCTGCCAGTCCTCTGGCCAGCAGGTCACAACTCCAAGGGTTGCCCTCTGGGAGCACAGTTCCTGCGACCTTCCACCCCCTAACTGAGGCCCCTTAACTCTGGCTTGCTGCACCCACAAGGCCCAGATCTGAGTGCTCCCAGAGAATTCAATCTAGCAAATCAAACTCCATAGGAACATTTGCCCATCAGCCTAGCTCTCTGGGGCCACACTGTCGCCCTTCACTTGCATATAATAGTGATCCAGCGATGGCTGATGGTTGACTTCTGCTTAGAAACCTCATGTGGGAACACCAGGAGATGGAATCCCCTCTTTGCCCCATGTTCCAGATAAAGACATAGGGCCTCAAAAAAAAAAAAAAAAAAAATTAGTCATCTAAGCAGCAGGTGTATGGGAACGCTTTTAACCCTATATTCAGTCTGTCTTCCTGCGCACTCCAAGAGCCCAGCCTCTCTCACTTTACTATGAAAAGGCCACGGGCTGGGGCTTTTGAAGACCGGACCCCAGGCTAACAAACTTTCCGAGGGATTTTGTTTTGTTTTGTTTTGTTTTGTTGGCTTTGCTTTGGTTTTAATAGCTCAAAACAATTCTTGGGTCCCTCCCCGGGCCCAGCCCTCCTTGCCCACCTCTGCCTCAGTACTCCCCATTCCCACCCACCTAGTAGGAAAAGGAGATATTTTCTTTCTTCCGTAGCAAGGAGACCACACCTTCCTTTGCCCCTTCCCTCCGCTGCGGATCGAGTCGGGGGTCGCTCCCGCTCCCTAGAAGCAGGGAGGCAAGTGACGCGAGGAAGGCTAGAGTAGGTTGCCGCCCTCCAGGGAGAGTAAAATGGCCACCTCCCCACCGGGGCTGGATAGCAGCCACCTGCTACTAGGAAGCCTCGGGTTAGGGTAGCACCGCCCGCCTCTGCTTGGGTCCTCGTGCTGGGAGCGCACTGGCCCTTTAAGAACGAGAGGCACACGCGCGAGGAGGAGGGCTGGAAACGCCGGGAGCCGCGCGGAACTCGCCGGGGACGTCGGGCGCCGACTCCCTGGCTCGCTTGCTCGGTCGCACCGGTCCCCTGCGCTCTTCCCGGGACCGCCTGGGGGATCCGGGCCCGATTGGGTGCGGCGGTCAGTGCAGTCCCTGGACGGGAGGCGCGCGCTCTGGGCAGCGCCCGGCCCTGGGCATGGACAGAGGGAGCTGGGCGCGCAGGGGGCGCCGCGGGACTGGGCGGCCGGAGCGTTGAACCAGACAAAGGCTCCGGAGTCGCGCTTGCTCCGGGAGCCCGGCCCGGCCGGTGGGCGCCGAGGCTGCAGGACACGGCGACAGGGAGCTCCGCCTGGTCCCTCTCCCACTGGCCAGCTTCGCGTACCCGGACCTTCCCTGCCCGCTTCCTCTCAGCTTTGAGAATTTGCGGAGGGGACCTTAGCGGCTCGGTAGTGGACCCGGAGCCGAAGGTCCGCTGTGCGCCCCCCGGGCGAGGAGCCAGGGAGCGGCGCAAGTTTCCCAGCCGCGCTCAGGCACTAGGCGCCTGCGAACGAGCGATCCCAGGGTGCAGCGATCCGGACCAGACTGGGAGGCGAAAGCATGGGCA